TACAGAGTGAGTTTCAGGACAGCTAGGGCTACACAGAGAATCCCTGCCTTGAAAAACCAAACACACACACACACACACACACACACACACACACACACATGCGCGCGTGCGCGCAAAAGTATTGGTTCTTCCTAAACAACTGTATTAGAATAAAGGGGGAGGAGGGGGACTATGAAGTTATACTTATTAACTACTAACCTTTAGCAATAGAATAAATAATCCCAGCAAGGACCTTCCCCATAATGGGAGGCTAAAGCAGAAGAACAGTCATGGGTGAGGCCAGCTTGGCCTACATAATGGCCTTCCAAACAAACCTGGGCTACAAGTGATACTTTCTCTCAAAAGGAGAGAGGGAGAGAGGGAGGAAGGGAGGAAAGGAGGGAGGGGATGACAGTGTTGTTCCCAAGGAACAATTAAAGGTATGGTGGTTTAGCTAAATGTGATGGTGGTGGTGCACACCTTTGGTTCCCAGCACCTGTGAGGCAGAGGCAGGTGGATCTCTGTGAGCTCAAAACCAACCTGGTATACAGAGTGAGTTCACTAACCATAGGTAGGCGATGGCATGGAGGACAATTGTTGTCCACACCTATATGCCTTTCTCCAAGTCTGATCAACACAGTGCCATTAGTACCAGGAGAGCAAACAAGACATTGGAGAGCAGGGGTGCGTGCGTGCGTGTGTACACATTTGGGCACTCTCAAGTACACATATTCGCCACGGTGCAGGTGTGAAGGGCAGAGGACAGCTTTCAGAAGTTGCTTCTCTCCTTCCACCACGTGGGTCCAGGGACTGAACTCAGGTTGAGAACTGGTAGCAAGCACCTTTGCCCCATAAGCTATCTTAGCTGGCCTGACTTGTTTGTTTGTTTGTTTGTTTTTGTTTTTGGGGACCAGGGTTTCTCTGTGTAACAGCCCTGGCTGTCCTGGAACTCACTCTGTAGACCAGGCTGGCCTTGAACTCACGGAGATCTGCCTTTCTCTGCCTCCCAAGTGCTGTGAGTGCACTTTTAAAGACTTTTAGGAATATGTTTCATGACAAGAGTAATTCACTTTTGATCTGAACGGTATTTGACAAACAATAATTAAGCTATAACATAAATAACATTTAAAATACTTTGTTATTCTCTGCAAGCAAAATGCCGTAAGATTTTACAGGCAGCCTAAGTTCCTTCATCTTTTCACTAAGTAGAAAGCAGTTAGTTAGCATTATGGCTCGATGGGTCATAAAAGGGCCAAGAAAATACCCTTTTCACCTCAGCAGTACAGCAGGAGGAATGGGACAACACAATATTGAAACCATTCACGATTTCAGAGCAACAATGAATGAAGCTGCCACTGCCTGGTTCAGGGACAGACACTGACAGGAATACAAAGTAACAGAACAACACACAAGAATAGACTTGAAATCCACAATACCAGAAAGGATGGATGTTTCTTTCTCTTTGCCTCCTCCACCCCCAACCATCTTAAAGCAACTAAAAACTAGATGTACTTAAGCTCAAATCATAATCACTTTTTTCTAATACTACAGGAATAAATGTGCCAGATCTGTATTAAAATACTCTGACACACATTTACCTACTATTTAATCATTAAATATTTAAATCGTGTGTGTGTGTGTGTGTGTGTGTGTGTGTGTGTGTGTGTGTGTGTGTGTAGCTAGTATCTCACTATGCAGCCTTGACTTGCCCAGAACTCACTAGATAAGCCAGATTGGTCTTGAACCTGTGATATCTCCTCCCTCCTGAGTGCTAGGATGACAGGTGTATGCCCAATCTAGGATTTAAAATGCTACAACTAGGCTAAAGGCTAACAAGTATTTATGTTAAGTCTAAAACAGTCGGGCCTGTGAGACTGCTCAGCAGATAAGCGCACTTTGGTCAAAGCCTAACTACCTAAGTTCCATCCCCAGAGCTCACATGGTAGGAGAGAGCAAACTCCCATGAATTGTGCTCAGATTTACACACAAATAAACAAACATAAAAAATAAATGTAAAAAGTAAGGTTTAAGCTGGGTGGTGGCAGCACAAACCTTTAGTCCCAGCACTCACTAGGCAGAGGCAGGTGGATGTCTGAGTTTGAGGACAGCCTGGTCTATAAAGCAAGTTCCAGGACAGCCAGGGTTACACATAGAGAAACCCTGTCTTGAAAAACAAAAACAAAAAAAGAAAGAAAAAGTAAAGCTTAAAAAGACTTTCCTACCAAAACCAGCCATTAAAATAACTGAAATCCTACATTTCAATTGAGTATAACTATACTTCCAACATTAAAATTTGATAATATATGTATACAAGAGTGGAGAAGCTCACTTGAGTGCTTGCCAAGGCCTCGGGTTTGATACCAAGAACAGCTTCAACTAAGAAGCGTGGCACAAGCCAGTAATCCTAGCCTCCCAAGTCCTGGGATTAAAGACATGTGCCGCCACACCCGGCTACAGTTCGTCTTAATAGTAGACAGCCTGAAGCTTTGGTACCAACCTTCTGCTGCGTGTGCTATACTTGGAGACTGAACCTAGGGCCTCATGTATGTCAGGGAAGTGCCCTACCACTAAACTATATACTCTAGCCCTTTTAAAATTCTGATTTTCCATCCTCCTGCATCAGACTCCTGAGTAATGGATTACAGATGTGTACCATTAGCACGATTGGTACCACTCTTTTAGGGGAAAAAAAAAGTGTGTCCCTCAAAAACTAAAGCTTTCTCTTATATCAAGTTTCTCCATATGATCAGAAAACTTACATATATATATATATATATATATATATATATATATACACACCAATTCTCTTGTTTGCTTTTCATTACTAAATGACATACTTTTCTAATAAATTTTAAACTCCTGCATATTCCTAAATAATATTGTTAAAGCTGAATTCAAATGTCCTAAGAGTGGCACTAAATCTTACTTATATATGGCATTTCTATTCAGACAGTTTACACATTAATGCTATATAATTGATTCCTGGGCTGGAGAGATGGCTCAGAGGTTAAGAACACTGGCTGCTCTTCCAGAGGTCCTGAGTTCAATTCCCAGAAACCACATGGTGGCTTACAACCATATGCAATGAGATCTGGTGCCCTCTGCCTGCAGGCATACATACACTATATGTGCAATAAATCTTTTAAAAATAATAATTGATTGCTATATTCAACACTAAATCCAAAACACATACCCATCTTTTTGAAAAACTGGTTAAAAAAAAAAAAGTACTAGACTTTTATAAAATACAATTAAGGGGTCACCGGTTCACTTCCCCTAATTTTGCTCCAAATGTATCAGCACCAATCCAATCATACCTTAAATAATGCCTTCCTTTACTATCAGAGAACTTGATGCAAAATACAGATTAAGATATCATTATAAACAAAACCTAAAATTCAAAACTGAAAGCCAAAAAGCAAACTATGCTTAGCTAAGCTTACTTTCAAATTCTGACTAAAGATTTCTCAAAAAACAAAACAAACAAAAAACAACCTATAGCTACATGGGTAAATAGTCCGTTGTAGTAGTCATGCCCACCCCCACTCCTTTCTGAGGCCCACTGTGCCCAGACTGGCTTAGAACTCTCTATGCAGACCAGGTTGGCACTGAACTCACAGCAACGCTCCTGCCTTAATTCTTCCAAGTCTTGGTTTTACAGACATGAGACACCACACTAGGTTTCTCAAAGAACACTATAACCATAGTAAAAATGCTCAGACCTGGAGCTGGAGTGGTTAAGAGCAGAGGACCAAAGTTCGGTTCTCAGCACCTAGTAGGGTGGCTCAAACCACCAGTAACTCTAGTTCTAGGACTCCTGATTCCCTCTGTCTGGGTCCCAAGGGCACACCCTACCCCAAGTTAAAAAAAAAAAAATTTAATATGTGCATTTTCCTCCTTTGGTATGTATCACAGTGACCTATAGAGGCTACTCCAAATGTAACATGGCTTGGAATAAAGAACTGAACACTAGCAATGGCAAAACATTAACTAAGGAAGTTTTAAACCAATTCAAGTCCTCTTTAGCCCTCTTTTTAATAGAGTCATGTAACTTGCAGTGAGATCGGGAGTCCCTGGTGTACAGTCATCATGTCAGCCAGCAAAAGCGCTGTTTTTGTTGTTGTTTGCTTTTTTTTTTACTCGCAAAAAGTAAACACTAACAATCCCTAGGGAGTCTTGGCTACGCGTGTATATATTTTGCTGTCTTATAGGCCTGCTCTTGTTCATAAAATACCACATAACTACAGGATGGCTAACAAGGAGCGAAATTAAGACTTTTAGGATCACAGATGCCTCAACTAAAGGTTCCTCCCTAGTTAAGTACCGCTCACTGAGTACTCTCTCATATTAACGTGAAGTTGCCGGTAAATCTTTGTGAAAATATCGCGACTACCAGGAGTTACTCCAACGCAAGGCACAAGGATGGCAAAAGGTAAAAACAAAAGAAAAAAATTTAATTAAAAAAAAACAACAACCTCTATCTTAAACTTTGTCTTTTTTCTCCCTTGTGCTGGAGACGGAACGGAACCCACATCTTTACGCTTGTAGGTGATCGAGCTCTTCTACGGAGCTACACAAGCACCCCAACGCTCTCTCTTAATGCCCATGCACAGTAGGAGCGAAGGCAGCAAGTGAAAAAAATAAAGAACTCCAGAAACCTGACCTTGCCCGCAAGTCGCCTGGTTCTGCACTCCTCCCCCAGTGTTCCCGCGAGCCGGTTCCCGCAGTCCCCAGTGCTCAGTCTGCCTGTCCAACATCTGCCTGGCAGCGAGTGACAGGCGATCAGAGGGTCCGACAGGAGGTGGCCCGAGAAACGCCGAGGCCCAACAGGCAAGGACTCGAGGAGGCGAAGGCGAGAACCTTCGCCGCGAAAGGGTCGGGCGTTAGGGACTAAAGCGGACCAGGCCTGCGAGGAGCACTGAGGGGAGGACAGGGCAGAACCCTGGGGAGGGATGAGCTGAGGGGCTGGCAGGCTGAGAGGGGGCACCCGGGCTGCGAGGCCGGGCAGGGCGCGGACTCACGTTCTCCCACTAGCAGGATCCGCACGTCTTTCTTCATGTCGGAGGCTCGCAGGGGCCGCGCTCGGCCCGCACGCATGGAGCGCACGCCTCACGCCTGGAGCGCCCAGCCCGTGGCGCCGCTCTCCCCGCGCTACCACCGTCTCCTGCCAGCCTCTCAGGCCTCTGCGCCCGAGCCTCGGCCGCCCTGACTCGCCGCACCGCCTCCTCGGCTGCCGCTCCGCTCTGGAGCCGGGACAAGCCAGCTCCGCCTCCTCCGGCTCCGCGGACGCGGGCGGCGGCGGCGGCGGCGGGGACGACGGCGTGCGGCGAGGGACACGCGCTTTCGGAACGCGAACGCTCTCGTTACTGGAACTGCGCCCTCGCGGGCATGCTGACGGTAAGCGCAAAACCCGAAAAGTTTTGTTCGTTGCAGTGGACTGCCAGAGATGTGTCAGATTCCGTAGTCGGATCTCCCAAGCCTTTTTTTTTTTTTCTTTAATTTAGCTAGGTTATCTTTATTTTATGTAGACAAGTGCTCTATCTGCATGTACATCTGCATGTACACCTTTATGCCAGACGAAGGTTTACAGACTGGTTGTGAGCCACCATGTGGTTGCTGGGAATTGAACTCAGGACTTCTGGAAGTGCAGCTAGAGCTCCTTAACCTCTGAGCTCTCTCTCCAGCACCACATCCTACTTGTTTTACAGAATAAGAACAGAAGAAGTTCCTTGTCCAGGGTCATAAAGCAGGAGCTTCGTTGTTGTGACTCGGAGCAGGGAATCTTCTAACTAAGTGCTAAGGTCCAGGAAGGCAAGTGACCTGCCTACCAGTTTTTCAGAATGATTTACTGAACAAGGTGACTGGTTTCCAGGGTGTGTGTACTCCCAGAGCCCAGAGCCCTGTTTGTTTTTCAAAAAAAAAAAAAAAAAAAAATTGCCGGGCAATGGTGGCGCACGCCTTTAATCCCAGCACTCGGGAGGCAGAGCCAGGCGGATCTCTGTGAGTTCGAGGCCAGCCTGGACTACCAAGTGAGTTCCAGGAAAGGCGCAAAGCTACACAGAGAAACCAACCCTGTCTCGAAAGACCAAAAAAAAAAAATTTTTTTTTAGTATGACATGTGCATTTGAGTGCCTTCCATGGTGAATGTGTGGAGGTCAGAGTTGGTTCTTTGCCAGTGTGATTGCACACACCTTTAGTTCCAGCACTCAGGAACAGAGGCAGGTGGATCTCTGTGAGTTCTGGGCCAGCCTGGTCTACTTAGTGAGTTTCAGGACAGCCAGAGCTATGAGGAGAGACATAGCTCAAACTTCCACTTTGGATTCCAGGAGTCAAAACTCAGTTCATCAGACACGAACAGAAAACACTTTTCCCACTACCACATCACTGCCCAATTAATTACTTTTTTTAAAAAAGTAGGACATGATAGTTCATGCCTATAATCCCAGCATATGGGGGGGCTGAAGCAGAAGGATTGTCATGAGTTTGGGGCCAGCCTGGGCTATAGAATGAGACCTAAATAGGCATGGTGTTACTTACGCCCCTGAAAAAAGTGGAGGTAGGAGGGTTAAACAGTCAAAGCTATCTTCATCTGCACAGAAAAATTTCATGCCAGTCGGGCTACAAGAGACTGCCTCAAAACAGCACACACACCAAAAATTGTACATATGTTATACATATATGAAACTAATTTAAAGGGATTCAAATGTGTATATGATCTCTATAAGTCATATGGTGTGCAGGAGTTCAGAGACGGCTGAGCAATTTCCTGGGTTTCAATCCAGATTCCGTCACCCAATAGATAGGTGATCCTGAATAAGGTCACTTACTTCCCCTGAGCCTATTCCTTCTCATGTGGCATGGCAGTGATAGTGGTACCTTCCTCCTAGGTGGCTGTAAAGAGAAAACTCTGTTTTGCCATGTCCAGCAATTCTGACAAGACCAGGATGTGCTCTACTGATCTCAGGCAGCATCAGGATCATAAAAGTCCACAAATGGTCCTTCACAAGCTTGAAGGCAAATGCGTTATGTTCACTACTGTAGGCCACCATCTTATTTGTCTGAATATATATATATATATATATAATTAGACAACTAAGATATAGATATGGATAGAAATACATAGAAGAAAATCCTTTCTAAAAATTGTCTGGGAAAGCAAGTGTGGTGATGGACAGCATCCCATCCTGGTACTCAAGAGTTGAAGCAGGATCATGAGTTGGAAGTCAACCTGGGTTACTCAGTGGGACCCCGCCTCAAACAAAAAAGCCCACTCTGTGACATGACAAAGAGGTGAGATGGGAAGGACACACCTCTTACTCCCTAGGAGGGTGGCTGTGAATAAGCTCATAGGACTCTAGAGACTCATGTCACCTCTCCATTCCTGTTTCTTTCCTACCAAACGAAGACTTCAGACCCTTCCTTGTAGAATTGTTTGGAGCAATCTCATGAAGTAATATACAGATGCTCCAATATTTCCTGATGGAATTGCATCCAGATAAACTCACTGTAAACTAAAATACATCTAACACATCTAACCTACCAAGTGCCATATTTTAGTAACACAGTTGTGTGAGAGACTTGCTGCTGCAGCCTTGCATCTTACTAGCCCAGAAAGACGTCAAAAATTCAAAATTTTGAAGTACAGTTCTACTCACCATATTATTACTTGGGTACCATGATACACTGGATCTTAGCCAAAACAGAAATAATTGACACTATTACAGAGTGTTTTAAATCTAGCTGGGAGTAGTGGTACATACCTTTAATCCCAGTACTCAGAAGGCAGGGGCAAACAGATTTCTATGAGTTTGAGGTCCTCCTAGTCTACACTGAGTTCCGTGACAGCCAGGGCTACATAGAGAAACCTTGTCTCAAAAAAAAAAAAAAAAAAGACAAGAAGTCCAGAGTTCAATTCCCAACAACTACATGGTGGCTCACAACCATCTGTAATGAGATCTGGTACCTTCTTTTGGTGTGCAGGCAGAACACTATATAAATAATAATAAATAAATCTTAAGAAAAAAATCCAAGCAGGTAAAAGTGCTGGTTGCTCCAGAGACCAAGGTGTGGTTCCCAGAACCCATATGATGGCTCACAACTGCCTGTACCTCCAGTTTCAGGGGATCTGGTGCCCTCTTCTGACCTTTGAAGGCACTCAGCATGCACACAGTACACAGACATACATTCAGGCAAAACAACCCACACATAAAATAAATAATCCAAGCTGAAATGTGGTATAATCTCAGCACTCAAGAGGCTGAGGCTGGAGAATTGTGAGCTTAAGATCAGCCTGAAAAATAAATAAATAAATAAATAAAAAGATCAGCCTGGGCTGATCTAGACCCATAGGAAGGAGCCAACACCAAGCAATCTCAGCTGGCAACATTTATGGGTGAGTACAAACCAAGGCCAGCACTTCATTCAAAGGCAGAAGAGGGAAAGGAATCTGACGTGTGGGATTCCTGACATGTTTCTTTGTCCATGCTCTCTCTCTCTCTCTCTCTCTCTCTCTCTCTCTCTCTCTCTCTCTCTCTCTCTCTCTCTCTCTCCTCTCTCTCTCTCTTTCCCTGTCCTTGAGCCAATCTAGCCCCCTTGGTTTGCCCTGAGCCCTATGTCCTTCTCATGATGTTAACAAATGTCCACGAGAGGTCACTCAGACATTCTCCTAAAGATAGCATGGATCATTGTTAAGTGCAGGGAATTCGGAGTCCTCCTGCTTGGTTCTGAACATCAACTCTGCCAATTACTTGCTGAGCATTATTAGTCAAATTATTTAGCCTCTTTGTTGTCTCCCGTGCCAAACAGAAATAACAATAGGACATATTACATGAGATTGCTATGAAAATTAATTATCTTATAATGAGAAATCCCTAAGAATACTGCGGGGTACATGGTAAACAATATTTAAATACCGAATATAAAATAAACTCTGAGTGAAGTAACTTTTTGTTTTGTTTTTGAGACAGGGTCTATGTAGTCCTCCTGGCAGTCCTGGAACTCAAATATGTAGTTCTGCCTGCCTCTTCCCTCACCTTCCAGGGCCATGTGCCACCACACCCAGTTGAGGGAAGTGACTTCTGTCTACCTCTCACAGTCTGAGGATCAAGCCCCACGATAAAATACACAAGCACAAAACACAAGGCAGAAGGCATCTTTGGCGGTGAGCCCTACCGTGGGGATATCACAGATTTATTGAGAGTGGATTAAATAGATTGGGTGAAGTCAAGAGGACACGTTGGCAGCTCGAAGGCACTGATGGAATTTTCCTCCAGTGTGCTAATGCAGAGCTTTCCTTTCACAAGTCAGCCTTTATGCCACTGCCCTGCAGAGACCATTGAGAAGTCAGAGCAAAGTGCGTCTGCCTAGAGATAAGAGGATCTATCTTTTGTGGCCATCAAAGGGAGAACTTGCAACACTACCTCCTGAGTCCGAGGAGGGTGCAACATCCCAGGCTAGTAGACAGGCCTGCTGGGTAAAAGAGATAGTGTGCCAGAAAGGTGACTGACATTGGGCCGGACAAGGGCTTCATCTATGATTCTCATGGGCTTCATCTATGATTCTTAAGTTCATCACTGGCTTGGGCAAGAGGCCAAATAAAACTCGGTTGGCTTCAGTCCCACCCTTCAGAGCCATCTATCTTGGGCTCTCAAGCTAAACCCACAGAAGTATCTATCATCTCTCTACCTCGACTTCACTTTTCCTCTCCCCTCTCAGTGTTGGGGATTGACAGAGGGCTTTGCACATGCTAAGTGCTCTACCACTGAGTTATGGACCTAACCTCCTTTGTCACCTTTCCTATTGCAGAAGTGGAGTTCCACCATGTTGCCCAGGTTAGCCCTGAACTCACTCTGTAACCTAAACAGGTACAAACCTCCTGCCTCTGTCTCTCGAGTAGCCGGGATTGTTCCTGCACCACCAGGAGCCTGGGGGGCTCCCCTTCTTCATTTCTGTTCTTTATGAAGGCTTACTGTTTTTCCTACCATGCCTGTTCTGATGGAGCAAAAGTCCACGACTTAGTGTCTGGTAAATATTCTCCAAGCATTCAGCAAAGTTGATCTTGACTCAGTGTTCAAACATGCCCTCTACATGGCCCTGAGAAGGAAAGGCCCCCGAAAGGAAGCTGTGTCTGCAGAGCCATAGCTGATTAGAATTTCAGTACTGTGGAGAGACTGGAATGCTGCAGGTCTAGAGGCTACTTACCTTGGGCTAAGTTCTGGCCCTCCGGGGAACAGCCATTCCTTGTCCCCTCACCCCACCCCATTGGAACTAACATCTTGTAACAATAGATAAAAGCCTCTACAATCTATTGGCTTACAGGCAACTAGCATTGACCAATCCAAAAGCTAAGAACGTATCTTGACCCATAGAAAAGCTTCCCCCTCTCTAGATACCTGTGTCTCCTATGTATCCACCAATGTATTGTAGACTTGCCTTGATTTATGACTTTCTCTTTCTGTAAAACTATAAAAACTTTGTGAAACTGCTTCCACATTGGAATGTGGGTATTTGGGGGAACCTAAATCTGTGTTCCCGAGCTATGGTCATTCAAAATGGCTCCAGAATAAACGATCTCTTATTCCCTTTAAGATGAGAACTGTGGTTTCATGTACCAAGGGTCAGCCCCAGAGGACAAAGTCTCTGCTTGGTTTGGCTTAAAGGTGTATCACTCAGCACAATTACTCATTAAAAGGGACTTGTTCATAACAATGTTGGGAGAGACTTGTTTTGTTTTTTTTCTAGGCAGGGTTTCTCTGTGTACCCTGACTATCCTGGAACTCACTCTGTAGACCAGGCTGGTCTTGAACTCACAGAAATCCATCTGCCTCTGCCTCCAAAGTGCTGGGATTAAAGGCGTGGGCCATCACTATCCAGTGGGTGAAACTTTTCAGACCTCATCTGTTGATTGGGACACATCCAGTTTTCTTCGGAGTTTTCTCAAGCTCCTTCAAATACAGTGGCAAACAAGTGCTCTTGATTAAGAGATAATTGATATTGAGAAACTATCTGACCCCACCCCCACCAATGGCCTAAATTCCCTTATGAGGTAGTTAAAGGCACAGACTATGAATTCTGCATTTCTTCTCCAATACGCTGCCAGCTGTTCAGCACTAGGCAAGTAGCATAATGTCTCTGGGATACATAACCCTCATCTATAAACAAAGCTATCTCATGGGCTCTCTTTGAGAAGAAAATGATGCTGGCAGAGCATTTATTGCATTGCTTGACATGGAGTGTGGGCTCACATGTCACAGCTAACAGCTCATTTTGAACTCCAAATTCATTTGCTACTTCACTAGCTTCCCAAGGGCAAAGTGATTTGCTTACCCACAACACTATAAATTCTAAAAGGCAAACAGGTGTAATTTTTTTCTTTTAATTTTTTTATTCATTTTGCCAAAGAACCCCCTCTTTCCTTCTCCTGTCCCTCCAGCCTCCCCTTCCCAACCCACCCCCCAACAGGTGTAATTTTTTTTTTTTTTTAGGTTTTTCGAGACAGGGTTTCTCTGTGTAGCTTTGGGCTTTTCCTGGAACTCACTTGGTAGCCCAGGCTGGCCTCGAACTCACAGAGATCCGCCTGCCTTTGCCTCCCAAGTGCTGGGATTAAAGGCGTGCGCCACCACCGCCCGGCCAGGTGTAATTTTTAATCACCGAAGGCACATTAAAATTTTTTGCTAATAAGTGATTCTCAAAACTATGTAGGTCAGAGGACATTTGTGAAAAGACAAAAAAAATTTCATGGATAGTATATTGATACTTTTTTGCTTATTCCTCAGAAGAAATCATCAAAATTAAATATAGCCCTAGATAGTAATGAAAAAGAAGAAATATATACACATATACAAATATATATATTTAGCTGTTATTCCATATAGATAGAGTTGGTTCCAGGATTTCTCTCACATACCAAAATTGGAGGATTCTCAAGTTCTTCATAGAAGACTCATGATGCTTACATGTAACCTAGTCAAATCTTCTTGCATTCACTTATAACACTTAAGATTATGTAATTTCTTTTTTCTTTTTTTTTTTTTGGTTTTTCGAGACCAGGCTGGCCTCGAACTCACAGAGATCTGCCTGCCTCCGCCTCCTGAGTGCTGGGATTAAAGGCGGTGCCACCACCGCCCAGCTAAGATTATGTAAATTCTTCAGGTGATACCATGTAGGAAATATTGACAAGAAGTCCATAGACAGTCAGTATAGTTATGATTTATTCTAAATTTTTTTGTTGTTACTGTTTTATGAGACAGGGTTTCTCTGTGTAACAGTCCTGGCTGTTCTAGAACTCCATCTGTAGACCAGGATGGCCTCAAATTCACAAAGATCCACCTGCCTGCTGGGATTAGAGATGTACACCACTATGCCTGGCTGTTTTCTAAGAATTTTTCATCTATGGTTGGCTTACTATGGAGATTTCAACAGAACGTGATAATAAATATTGAGGAAGCCAGGCAGTGGTGGCACATACCTTTAGTCCCAGCACTCGGGAGGCAGAGACAGGTGGATCTCTGTTTGAGGCCTGCCTGGTCTATAGAGTGAGTTCCAGAACACTCAGGGATACATATAGAACTCTCTCAAAAAACAAACAAACAAACAAAAAACCAAATAAAACAAAACTGAAGGTGATCGTACTGGGTGACAGCCATCATTAAGTTCAGATTGGCTTGTTCTGGTACCAGGAAAGGCTAAGGACAGAACCTAGAGCTTTGTGTGTGCAGAGTAAAGGCTCTACCACTAAGTTACACCCCAGCCCGTATATTACTTTAAAGCACTAAATTCATGGAACTGTTATTACACAGCAATTGCTAAGTAACATACATCCCTTTTTTTGTGGGTCCTTACAAGTCACCATCTGCTTCCAAGATCGCTACAAGGACAAACTGAACTCAGCACAGCTGTGATACTCACGATTTCAGTTTATTACATTGAAGGCCACAGAATAAAAGGAACAATAGCAAAGGCACACAAGGTTAGGTCCAGGAAGGCTCCCTCTCCCTAGTCACTGGGCAGTGCTCTACCCTCCCAACAGTGGTACGTGGGACATACACAGTGTATGCTGGCTAGGGTTGTTTACCCAGCTATGCTGTGGGATTGGGCTTTTAATTAGGGGTCAGTCATGTAAGCTGGCCACACACTGATTGAACCAACAATCCCAGATGAGAACTAAGTGATAGAGAAGGGTCCAAAGTCCCTCTTATTAGGCAGGCTATTCTGAGGCCTTAAAGGTCACCTTCAGGAGACACCCCAGGCCAGCTTTTTCTCTGAAATGCCCAAGGTTCAAAGAGCTCAAAGTTAATCTTATCCCACACACAAAAAAGAATAACTTCAAAAGTGAGAGGAGTCATACCATGTAGTCCAAGCTGGCCTTGAACTGCCTTTGTTGACGAGGCTGGCCTCAAACTTGCAGTGATCCTCCTGCCTCCACTTCCCAGGTGCTAGGGTTACAGACATACACTACCATATCCAGTCTCCTTAAGTGGACTTCTCTAGTTGCCCCTAAACAGAGAGGCTAGGAATCCACTGTTCTAACCCCGGGGTGTACCTGCTTTATTTCCAGGTAGTTTCCAGGACTTAAGCCATACAGCCAGAAGGCAGGATGCAGAGGGCAGGAGGCAGAGACCTCACACTCATACAGAAGCCTCTCCTCATCAGAGACTGAATAGAAGGCGAGCTTCCCCAGCTCAAGGTCTAGCCACACGCCCACAACCTCAGGGCGGTCTAAGTGAAGGTCTGTTTTCTTCACCATGGCCCAAGCAGAGAACTGGCCAGGCCCTTTCCACTCTATACACCAAGAGTCCATAGTCCTTCCCAGCATCTGGTCCCGCTTCATGCCCCACGAAGCCACCCCAACAGCCCAGTGGTTGCAGTTCCTAGTGTCCACTTCCCAGTATTTCTGGCCAGAAGAAAGGGCCTCAGAACATAAGACCTGGCTAATTAAAAATCTCTCAGGACTCCAACGATAGGGCTGCAGACACCGAGACACGGTCACTGTCCGGCAACTGTTGGAAACTTCCAGGCTACAGGAAAGGCTCCCCAAGTCAAAGGTTGGACTGATGGCATCTGGGAGAAATAACCACCACAAGATCACGGACAGTCAGCTACTTTTCACATTTATGTGTATGGGTGTTTTGCCTGCATGTATCTGTGCACCACATGTAGGCAGTGACCACAAAGCCAAGCAGAGTGTGTTAGATCCTCTGGGACTAGAGTTCCAGACTATTATGAGACACCAAGAGGGTGCTAGGAATCAAACCTAGGTCCTCTGGAAGAGCAGCCAGTGCTCCGAACCACTGAGCGGTCCCTTCAGTCACGGACAGTCAGTTTTTGACCATTCATGCTGGAAGTCATTCACTCAACAGAAAAAGTAGCATTTTACCTTTAGGGGTGATGTTTACGTTAAATTGATACATATACTTGTAGGAAACTCTACATAACCTTCATGTTGTATTATCAATGCCCTGTTCCTGTTCTTATTTTCTCTTACTTCCCATCGGGAAGCTATCTCTTAATACCATGCAGTACAAAGTCATTCTCACTTTTTTCAGTACCTGTGCTTTGTGAGTACAATGGCTGGCTATTTGTGCCCAGGTCTATGTTTTATTCATTTACATATAATATTTCCCTCTCATTCTTCCTCCCTCCCTCCCTCCCTTCTTGTCTGTCTAGTGCTGGGACTCAGACCCAGGGGCTTGCACATACTAGACAAATACTCTACTACTGAACCACACTCCCAGCCCCTATTGTTAAGTGATAATATGTGAATGTCATGTCTTCTCTACTCCAGGCACTTCTGTCTCTCCCTTCCTCCTGATCTCTCATGTAGCCAGAAGGCAATTCTACCAGGTTATTATTACCATTGCAAAGGTAAGAGAACAGAGGCCCTAAGAGGTGACCTGTCCAGGCCTGCACAGCTAGCTAACGGAGCTGCTGAAGCCAAAAGCAGGGCTCCAGGGTGCATGTGCTCTTAAGGACCATCTAGCCTGGGACAACAAACACAGGATGTATGTAAGTGGGGAAATAAACAGACAGCTGTAACTGATGATACCAGCATGGATGTGCTTGGGATCTAAGTGCTCAAGGACCTAGTTTAGACTGGAATTTGGGAATTTGGATTGGAGAATCCTCTTTGTCCTTATATTAAGCTCTCCATATTGAGGGGACCTAGTCTAGAAGAAAAAAAAAAAATCCAAGGGTATGAAGTCAAAGATTAGGTCCCACAGCAAGGAGGTGGGCACAGCACATTCTTTAAGTCCCTCTATTCTACATATAAGTAGTTTTATTTGTTTTGTTTTTTGTTTTTTCAGATTGAGTTTCATGTAGCCTGGGCTGGCCTCACACTATGTAGCTAAGGATAACCTTGAAACACTGAACCTCCTGCCTCTACCTCCCAAGTTCTAGGATTACAAGTATATACCATCACACCTGGTTTATGCAGTGCTGGGGACTGAATCCAGGGTCTCTGTGCATGCTAGGAAAATACTCTATCTACTGAGTTATTTCGTTGTTTTGTTTTGTATTTCAAGAGAGAGGGTTTTTTGTTTTGTTTTGTTTTTTGTTCTGTGTGTGTGTGTGTGTGTGTGTGTGTAGCCCTGGCTGTCTTAAAACTCACTCCGTAGATCAGTCTGGCCTCAAACTCACAGTGATCCATCTGCCTCTGTCTCTAGAGTGCTGGCATTAAAAGCATACACCACCATTGCCTGGCTGGTCTACTGAGTTATATCCCAGCCCTAGGAGGTATGTTTAAGTGGACCTCATACTTACATAAGGCAAACTGAGAAGCTTTCCTGGGTACAGGACTCCTTTGGTCAGGCAGCAGGCATAAGGAAGAAGATGGCATTTCTAGGAATTAAAAGAATAATTGGGAGGAGGAAGCCCCATTAGCAAAAGGTGAACCAAAGTTATCCAATTGTCATGATATGGGCACAGGCCTGCATTCTTTCTCATAGCACATTTCTGGGTGTCTGGGTTGTGCCAGACACCACATTCAGACCAAGTATATCCAGCCCCAAGTTATCACCCCGGAACTTTTTTCTTAACTGTTTACCCCACAAAAACCCCAAACTCCTTGCTACCAGAGATCTTGTTCATCTCTATTTTCTAAGCATTAAGATCCATATAAACCCCATAGACAGAAAAGTGTTTTATGCACCCTCTTATCCAGAATACTCACAGCCCGCATAGGTCAACATTCTACACCATTATTATAAAGCCAAGTAACCTGAGCCGATGTAAGGTTCAGGTCAACTGCTGACACCTCCAACTCCCTCCCCATGTTCCAAGTTTAATTATTCACTTAAGCAATTATATATGCTAGACTATAATGACCATGAGAAGGCAGGAACAGAGAAAGTAAGGGAAGCCCTTGTAGAATATTAGTTTAAGATGTGTTACATTTATTTATGCTGTGGAATATTTGTTTAATGATGCAAAGAGATGTTGCATTCTTTTATGTTTCATTTGTTTAACTCTGTGAAGCTGTGTTACTGTGCCTGTCTAAAACACCTGACTGGGCTAATGAAGAGCTGAATGGCCAATAGCCAGGCAGGAGAAAGGATAGTCTTGAAAAACCAAAAGAAAACAAAAAAACAAAACCTGGAATTCTGATACATGTACAAAATGAATGAATCTAAAGAATATTGTACCCATGTATACAAATTAAAATAATTTGGTAGTTTTTTTTGTTTTGTTTTGAGACAAACAAACATTGTGTAGCTCTGGCTACCCTTGAACTTGCTATATAGACCAGGCTGGACTCAAACTTCCAAAGATCTGACTACCTCTGCCTCCAAAGTACTGGGATTAAAGGTGTAAGCCACCACATCTGGCTTTAAAATAATTCCAAGTAAGATTTTCAAAATGTTCCATACCTATGGTCTGGGAAGATGTCTCAGCAGTTAAGAGCACATACTGCTCTTGCATCTAAATTCATTTCCCAGCACCCATGTCACAAGGTTGGCTCACAAGGTCTCTAATTCTAGCTTCAGCTTCAAAGAATCCAACACCCTCTTCTGGCCTCCATAAGCACCTGCACTCACATACACATACCTTCCCACAGACACACATACATACACACAATTAAAAATATACAAAAATATGACTGCTCTTGCATCTAAATTCATTTCCCAGCACCCATGTCACAAGGTTGGCTCACAAGGTCTCTAATTCTAGCTTCAGCTTCAAAGAATCCAACACCCTCTTCTGGCCTCCATAAGCACCTGCACTCACATGCACATACCTTCCCACAGACACACATACATACACACAATTAAAAATATACAAAAATATGAGTCCAGGAGAACAAGAGGAAGAACAGAGGTTCCTTCATACTGGTACTGTGTAAAATTAAGACATTCCCCCAGTACAATAGAATACAATACAGAGATGTGTTTCCCCTGAGTCAGGATTTCACTATAAATTGCTGGAACTCATAGAGATCCACCTGCCTCTGCCTCTTGAGTGCTGGAATTAAAGGTGTGTGTCCCGAAGCCCAGCCAGAACTACATTTTTGATAGGATATACCAAGAAGTAGCAAACTCTAGGACAGGTAGGAATACAAAGAGAGACTCTGTCTCAAAAAACAAACAAACAAACAAAAAGAAGTAATTATATAGTTGCCTGCCTTTTTTTCTTTCTTACTACTATTCCCTCCACCCCACCCCCATACTCCTTTTGAGACAGGGTCTCTCTCATGTAGCTCAGGTTGGCCTTGAACTCCTGATGCTCCCATCTCCACCTCCCAAGTGCTGGGATTAGAGGTATGTACTGCTACACTTAGTTTCATGTCTTGTTAGTAAGAAACATTTTACTAATTATAAAAATATAAAGAGCCAGGCCGTGGTGGCGCACGCCTTTAATCCCAGCACTCGGGAGCAGAGGCAGACGGATCTCTGTGAGTTCAAGGCCAGCCTGGGCTACAGAGTGAGTTCCAGGAAAGGCTCCAAAGCTACACAGAGAAACCCTGTCTCAAAAAACAAAAGGATAAAATAAAAAGAGGGCTCATGAGATGGATCAATGGGTAAAAGCACTTGCCACCAAGCCTGATGATCTCAGTTCAATTCCCATGTGGTGGAAGGAGAGAATTATTTTCTTCTAATTATCCTCTTACTACATACACAGATTGTGGCAAGTGTACACACACACACACACACACACACACACACACACACACACACTAAATGCCTTTTAAAAAAAAAGACACGAAGCCGGGCGGTGGTGGTGCACGCCTTTAATCCCAGCACTCGGGAGGCAGAGCCAGGCGGATCTCTGTGAGTTCGAGGCCAGCCTGGGCTACCAAGTGAGTTCCAGGAGAGGCGCAAAGCTACACAGAGAAACGGACGGTGGTGGTGCACGCCTTTAATCCCAGCACTTGAGAGGCAGAGCCAGGTGAATCTCAGTGAATTTGAGACCAACTTGGTCTACAAATCGAGTTCCAGGACAGCCAAGGGTACACAAAGAAACCCCTCGAAAACTGGAAAAAAAGAAAAAAAAAACCAAAATAAAGGACACAAAATAAAAAGCAGCCAGGTGCGGTTGAAGATACGGCGTGGTCCACTTGGTTCATAAAGTGGTCTCTTTATGAAGATCACTTAAGTTTGAGGTCAGCTTGGGCAACATAAAGAGACCTCATCTCAAAAATGAGAACAGGGCTGGTGAGAGGCTGGAGAGATGGCTCAGCAGTCAAGAGCACTTGTTGCTCTTGTTGAAGACCTTGGTTTGGTTCCGAGCACCCACATGCTCACAACCATCCCTAACTCCAGTCCCAGGGGACCTGATGCTCTCACCCTCTTCTGACCTTTGAGGGCAACACACATACACACACACACACACACACACACACACACACACAGGGCACAGATATACATGCAGGCAAACACCCACACACAGGAAATAAATCTGTAACAATGAAAGCAGAGACCAGAGATGATTCAGTGGGTAAAGGCACCTGTTGCCAAGCCCAGCAGCCTGAGCTGATCTCTAGATCACACGTGGTGTAAGGAGAGAGCAATTTCGGCAAGTTGTCTTCTGATTTCCCTCCACGTGTGAGCTGTGGCACGTACATGCCCACCACCACCACCACATATGTAAATAAAAATGAAAACCAAAAGTCCAAATCAGCCGGGCGGTGGTGGTGCACGCCTTTAATCCCAGCACTTGGGAGGCAGAGCCAGGCAGATCTCTGTGAGTTCGAGGCCAGCCTGGGCTACCAAGTGAGTTCCAGGGAGGCATAAAGCTGCACAGAGAAACCTGTCTCGAAAAACAAAAAAAAAAAAGTCCAAATCAGCCTATTTCCAATCTCCTCAGGCAAAAAAGCAAAGATAAGCAATAAACTGGGAGTCTTAAAAATGTGAGTTTTAGCCGGGCGGTGGTGGCGCACGCCTTTAATCCCAGCACTCGGGAGGCAGAGCCAGGCGGATCTCTGTGAGTTCGAGGCCAGCCTGGTCTCCAAAGCGAGTCCCAGGAAAGGCGCAAAGCTACACAGAGAAACCCTGTCTCGAAAAACCAAAAAAAAAAAAAAAAAAAAAAAATGTGAGTTTTGCTTTAGTCAGGGCCTATGCTACAGAAAATACCTTGCGGTCATATCCCAAAATGTACACAGCCATGACCATGCCTCAGCCCACTCCTACACAACTTACACCACCACAACAAAGAGCAGCCCTGCTCCGGCCCCCGTCCCCAAGGAACAAAGCCCAGGGCATTCGGCCATTCCCACCAACCTCCTTAGTCAGTCCTGCTCCACTAAAAAATGTCAGCTCACCCTGAACTTGTTCTCCAGGAGCGTCTGTCCGTGGGACACTCCCTTGTAGTTTTTCCTGAATTTCTTTTAGGTTATGGAGAATCTCTCGAATTTTCGTCTCGGATGCACTGGACGTTACCAGCTTTGGCGAACTCAAGGAATGTTCCTCCTCAGAGGAAGGAGCCTATTGATCAAGGAGTAAAGAACAAGTGAATGAAAGCCAACCATGGAACTCATCGAATCCACTCGAGGTCTGCCTCCCAGTTTTTCTCATTTAAGTCTAAAAAGGCTTTTAAAAACAACATTAGGGGCTGGAGAGATGGCTCAATGATTGAAATTTTATTTATTTTTATTTCATATGCATTGGGGTTTTGCACGTATGTCTGTGTGAAGGTATCAGATCCCCTGGAACTGGGGTTACAGACAGTTGTGAACTGCCACGTGGTTGCTGGGAATTGAACCTGGATCCTCTGGAAGAGCAGTATTAACTGCTGAGCCATCTCTCCAGGCCCAGCTCGATGATTAAGAGCAACAGCTGTGCTTCCAGAACCTGGGTTTAGCTCCCAGGACCCACATGGCATCAGGCATACATGTGGGCACAGGCATACATGCAAATAAAACACTATACACATAACAACAAACAAACAAATAATATTCCCTAGCAGGGAGTGGTGGGTGGCTCATGCTTCTAATTCAAGCACTTAAGAGTCCTGAATAAGGGGCTGGAGAGATGGCTCAGAGGTTAAGAGCACTGACTGCTCTTCCAGAGGTCATGAATTCAATTCCCAGCAACCACATGGGGGCTCACAGCCATCTGTAATGAGATCTGGTGCCCTCTTCTGGCCTGCAATCATACATGCTGTATACATAATAAATAAATAAATCTTAAAAAAAAAAGAGTCCTGAATTAAGTCTTTAAAAAACAAAAGTCCTGAAGCAAGTGGACTGCTACGAGTTCAAAGTTAACCTGGGCCACAGAGTGAGACTCTATCTCAAACAAACAGAAATCATCATGCTCAAGCAGTTTTTGTTTTGTTTTGTTTTTTCCACAATCTTTTTTTCAAGACAGGGTTTCTCTGTGTAGCCCTGACTGTCTGGGAACTTGCTCTGTAGACCAGGTTGGCCTCAAACTTAGAGGTCCACCTGCCTCTGCCTCCCAAGTGCTGGGATTAAAAGCATGCGCTATCACTGCCCAGCACATTTCTTTCTTTTTATTTTATATTTATGAATGCTTTGCCTGCCTGTTTGTGTGTATGTACCACACGTGTGCCTGGTGCCTAAGGAAACCAGAAGAGAATGTCAAATACCCTAGAATTGGAGATACTGGTGGTTGTGAGCCACCATGGGGGTGCTGGAGATCAACCCCAGGTCACCTGGAAAAGCAGCAAGGGCTTTTAACTGCTGAGCCATCACTCTGGCCCCTTTGGGCACAAGATTAATTATTTATTTCTTAATGTATTTTTTATGGTGCTAGGGATCAAATCCAGAGCCTTGTGCATGAAGTCTACTACTAAGCCACATCCCCAGTCTATAAGATCCTTTTATTTTCGTGTATATATATTTGTTGTTATGCGTATGTGGTGTAAGCGTGTGTGTGTGTGTGTGTGTGTGTGTGTGTGTGTGTGTGTGTGTGTGTGTATGTGTGTGTGTGTGTATGTGTAGGGAGGCGTAATACATGCACATGGAAAAGCATATCAGGGTTCCTGCTCTGTCACTCTCCACCTTATCCCCTTGAGACAAGCTCTCTCACTAAACCTGGAGCTAGGCCAGTGACAGTAATCTCAGTCCCCCCAGCCCTGGCACACTTGTAAACCCAGTTCCAAGATCACAGGAAATCACTGTGTCTTGCCCAGGTTCAGGGAGAGACCCTGCTCAGCCTCTGACTGCACATGTCAGAAGGTGGCCCCTGTAATCACGGAGACAAAACAAAAAGCCCATGGAATCCTGAGAACCTCTGCGGGGAATCCGACTCATTCAAGGCTGTCGGTATGAAAGAGTGTAGTCATCCCCTAGGTAATGCACAAAGGAAGCAAATGTTTTCAAAGGCACCCATCCCATAGTGGGAAGAAAGAAGACATCCAACAGGAACTGACTGGACTTGGGTGGCTAGGCACACCGAGCCAGAAGGTCAGGAGGGATGTGGTCAGGAGAGGACCCAGGCATGGGACCCCGTGTGGGATGTGGTCAGGAGAGGACCCAGGTATGGGACCCCATGTGGGATGTGGTCAGGAGAGGACCCAGGCATGGGATCCCATGAGGATGTGGTCAGGAGAGGACCCAGGCATGGGACCCCATGTGGTTTTGCTGGTTCTGGGAGGACTGGCTCTTAATCCCAAACAGGCAATGCCACAGTTTAGATCATACATGGCTCCCCAAAGGCCCAGCTAGTAATGCTTAATCCCCAGGGCGCCATAACCAGGAGGAAGTGGAACCTTTAGGAGGTGGAGTATAGCAAGGTCTTTAGGCCACTGGGGGCACGAGGCACTCCTTTCCTCTCTCTCTCCTCTGCTCCCTGGCCGTGAGGTTGTGAGGCTCTGCTCTCCCACATGTTTCCACCGTTGCCACTGGGCTCCTGGAAGCAGCGATCCAAAATAACCTTTTTATTTTCAAAAACTGATTGTCTCCGGTTAAGCCGACATCATCAGAGTATTTCAAGCAGATGAGTTACATGGTCATATTTGTGTGAAGAAAGGTGACTAAAATAGAGTGGGACATTTGCAGGGCATGGTGGCTGTCCAGGCAAAAGATTATTGTGGCTTGGTCTAGAGAATTCTCAAGAGCTCAGAGGTGAATAGATTTGGAAGATACTTCGGCTGGCCTCGGAGCTACAGTGTGCTGCTAGGCAGGTTAGGGCAGAGGAAGTGACTTGAGATTCTGGCTCATGTATTTGGAAGAATGAGACCAAGGCTGTGAGGGAGAATCCCCAGAGGAAGCGTAGTTTGGGGCATTTAACTGTGCTGTTTCTGAGATACCCAAGAGGAAAAGTTGAGATGCAAGAAAGCAGTGGAAGTAGGAGGATCAGGAGTTCAAGGCCAGCCTACGCTAGAGATCCTGTCTCATAAAACAGAAGCAAATGAAAGCAGCCTGGAGACTGAGCACAATGGGGACACTCAGGCAGCTGGTTTAGGAGGACCATGAGTTCATAGTGAAGGACAGCCTGAACGGCACAACAACATTCCATCTCAAAAGGAGAAATGGGGTGTTAGCAAGATGTTCAGCTGGTAAAAGTGCCTGCTGCACAAGCCTGGCACCCTGAGCTAGAGCCTGGGACCTACAGTGGAAGACGAGAACGGACTCCTGAAAGTTGTGCTCTGTCCTCCCCTACACACACACACACCCTCCCCTATACACATACCCTCCCCTAAACACACACACACACACACACACACACACACACACACACACACACACACCCTCCCCTATACACATACCCTCCCTTATACACACATACCCTCCCCTATACACATACCCTCCCCTATACACACACACACACACACCCTCCCCTATATACATACCCTCCCCTATACACATACCCTCCCCTATATACATACCCTCCCCTATATACATACCCTCCCCTATACACACATACCCGCCCCTACACACATACACCCTCCTCTACACACATACCCGCCCCTACACACATACACCCTCCTCTACACACATACCCTCCCCTGCACACACATACCCGCCCCTATACACATACCCTCCCCTACACACACATACCCTCCCCTATACACACATACCCGCCCCTACACACATACACCCTCCTCTACACACATACCCGCCCCTACACACATACACCCTCCTCTACACAACATATCCTCCCCTACACACACATACCCTCCCCTACACACACACACACACACACACACACACACACACACACCCTCCCCTATATACATACTCTCCCCCACACACACATACCCTCCCCCCGACACACACCTTCCCCTCCACACACACAAACTCTCCCCTCCACACAATAATGAAATTTTTTTTTAAAGGTCACTGAATGGGGCTAGAGAGTTAACTTGGCAGTCAAGGACATTTGTTGCTCTTCCAGAGGATCAGAGTTCAGTTCCCAGTAACCATATGATGGCTCACAGTCGTCGGTAACTTTAATTCCAGGGGATCCAACACCCTCTCTGACCCCTACAGGGATCAGGCATGCATATGGTATACACATATTAATGCAGGCAAAACACCCACACAAATAAAATAAGATAAATACATCTTTAAAAAAACGTGAAGGTCAGTGAAGATGAGGATTCTCAAATCCGTGGGATTTACCGCAGCTTGTTGGTGGTTTTAGAGAGAGTTGATTGGGTAGAGTGGCAAGGACAGATCCCAGCCCACTGGAAGCTTCCATTAACTCATGTCCAGCCAGGTGGTGGTGGCGCACGCCTTTAATCTAACTTCAAACAGGGCATGGTGGCACATTCCTTTAACCGCAGCACTCGGGAGGCAGGGCAAGCAGTGATCTCTGTGAGTTCGAGGCCAGCCTGGTCTCCAAAGCGAGTTCCAGGAAAGGCGCAAAGCCACACTAAGAAACCTTGTCTCGAAAGGAAAAAAAAAAAAAAAAAAAAAAACCTCATGTCCAGCATGCCAGATTTCCAATCACCCATATTTGGCCGACAAGAGAATGGTAAACGTGGGACCTGTTGCATTCCATGTCTCATACTGCTGTAGCTGGAAGCTGTCCTTCACCCTGGCCCCTCCTTTCCCACCTGAACCTACCGTGCCCAAGACGCCTAGTTCATTGTCCAGTCCAGATCCCAAGCGAGGTCTTTGCGTTTGAAGGCCCTTGACAACGTCTACGAACTGCTGGAACACTTCTGTCAGCTCCCGGATGAATTCTGTGGTGCTTTTCTGTACTGCCACCTTGAAAAGAGCAACACAGGGCTTCTGGTCCCCAAAAACTGGACCCAGGACCACCACTCAATAAAGGGGCAATAGTGGCATGAAAGAAGACATTAGAGCAATGGAAAAGAATAGAGAGCTGAGAATCAAACCTTCAGATACGCCGTAAAATAAATTTTTACAAGAATGCCAAGACTACTTAAAGGGGTGAGGAGTCTTTTCAACAAACACTAACTAGAAATGTATATTCCTATACCAATGAATGAAGTTGGAGTCTATGGTTTGTTTTTGAGACAGGCTCTCTCAACATAGCCCTAGCTGTCTTGTGCCACCATGCCGTTTGAAGTTAGATTCTTGCCGGGTGGTGGTGGCGCACACCTTTAATCCCAGCACTCGGGAGGCAGAGACAGGTAGATCTCTGTGAGTTCGAGGCCAACCTGGGTTACAGAGTGAGATCCAGGACAGGCACCAAACTACACAGAGAAACCCTGTCTCGAAAAACCAAAAAAAAAAAAAAAAAAAAAAAAGCTAGATTCTTACCTAACATGATATAGAAAACTAAATGAGGAGGCTGGGGGAGAGTACATGCCTGGTACATCAGTCCCCAGAGAGTAAAGTTGAAAATAGGAACTTGATTTTAAGATAATGGACATTGTAGCAGTAGTTATAATAGTCAAATGTAGAAACAATTCAGATGTTCATAATTACTAGATTACTAGATAAATTGATTAGAAAGTGATATATCCACACAGATGATATGACAGCCACCTAAAGCAAGGGTGTTCTGACACATGCTACAAGAGTCAGCTCTGAAAGTATTATGGGAATGAAAGAAGTTAGACACCAAGGGTCATGGAATGGCCCCCATTTACATGAAACATGTAGAATAGGTAAATTCAGAAACATAAAATAGTTATGGAATATTACTCTAACTAGGTAAAGATGTGTGACATTTGTTTATGCTGCAGAATATTACTTTAACTGTGTAAAGGTGTGTTTTACACACACACACACACACACACACACACACACACACACACATACACACATAGGGGCAAGAAGCCAGGCAGCCAGCCACCAGCCAGCTAGACAAGAGAAACAGTGACAGTAAGATACACAGAAGGAAACAAAAGTAAAAAGCCCTGAGGCAAAAGGTAGATGAAGAGAAACAGGTTAAGTTAAAAGAGCTAGCCGGAAATGAGCCTAAGCTAGGCTGAGCATTCATAACTAGTAAGACGTCCCGGTGTCATGACTTGGGAGCCGATTGGTGGCTCAAAAGAAAAAGCCTGGCCGGCATGGTGGCGCACGCCTTTAATCCCAGCACTCGGGAAGCAGAGGCAGGTGGATCTCTGTGAGATCGAAGCCAGCCTGGTCTACAAATCGAGTTCCAGGAAAGGCACAAAAGTACACCCCAAAAGTACACAAAAGAGAAACCCTAAAGCCTGGTACAGTAGATGAGATGTGTGGAGGCTGGAGGGACAGGAATCAGGTGTCATTGCTTAGCGGGTACAGAGGTACTATTTGTAGTGATGAAATCACTTTGGAAACAGCGTTGACAGATGCACAGTATTGGAGGCATGACAAATGCCATCAAAGTGTACACTAAAAAAAACCGTTCAAATGGTTGGCTGGTCATGGTGGCACATGCCTTTAATCCCAGCTCTTGAAAAGCAGAGGCAAGCGGAGCTCTGAGTTGGTCCACACCTATAATCCCAGACTTGGAAACCCAAGACAGGTAGAAGGCAGAGATCATTACTCACTTCAGGTTCAAGGACAGCTTGGTCTACACTAGTTTGATCCTGTCTCAATAAATAAATAGAATTAGACAGTGTTAAAATTTGCATATATACTACCACACTAAAAATTTTCAGACATCACAGAAAGACTGTCGGAAAAACGGAAATATGCAAGGGTGCACCACACCTCGGTTGGATGGGATTTAGATTAACTACTGTTTGTGAGATTTTTGTTTTTGTTTTTTTTTTGTTTGTTTGTTTTGTTTTTTCGAGACAGGGTTTCTCTGTGTAGCTTTGCGCCTCTCCTGGAACTCACTTGGTAGCCCAGGCTGGCCTCGAACTCACAGAGATCCGCCTGGCTCTGCCTCCCGAGTGCTGGGATTAAAGGCGTGCGCCACCACCGCCCGGCTGTTTGTGAGATTTTTAACTATTGTTTGTGACCAGTCCTTACTATGTAGCTCTGGCTGGTGTGGGGCATGCCCCTAGGTCAGCCTCGCAAATCCTGGGATTACAGGAGTGCGGTCACCACGCCCGGCTTTTCAACTTTTTTTTTATTTTTCCGGAGCTGAGGACCGAACCCAGGGCCTTGTGCTTGCTAGGCAAGCGCTCTACTACGGAGCTAAATCTCCAAACCCCCACCCTTTTTTTTTTTTTTTTTTTTTTTTTTTTGGTTTTTCGAGACAGGGTTTCTCTGTGTAGTTTTGGTGCCTTTCCTGGATCTCGCTCTGCAGATGAGGCTGGCCTCGAACTTACAGAGATCTAAAAGCGTGTGCCACCGCCGCCCGGCCCACTTTTCAACTTCTTTATACAACTCTGAACTTTCCAAAGATTCTCCCGAAAACAGATCAAATTGATAAGAATCATGTGGCGGAAGAAGAGATCGGGAAGGCAGGAGAGGCCCAAGGGGGGCGCACTCGGGCTGCCAGAGCGGTGCGGGGTTCCTACCGGCGGTGGCGGCGCGGGGCGACGAGGCGGCGCGGGCGCGGGCACGGTCTCGGGGCCAGCCTCGAGCTCGTGCGCCGCTTGGCGGTACTTGTCCGCTAGGTCCTGCAGCAGCGGGTTCTTGCGCAGCGTGGGCTTCGTCTCCGGGCCCTCCCGGCAGGTGGGACAGGCCCAGGGGCGGCCATTCACGCCCGCGCGCTGCGTGATCCACAAACCCTTGAGGCACCGGAGGCAGAAGCTGTGGCCGCAGGGCAGCGTGGTGGGCCACTCCAGCAGCCCTTGGCAGATAATGCAGCCCAGGTCCTCCTCGCTCAGCCACACAGGGACCGAAGTGCCTAGGCCTGGGGTCGCCATACTGGGTGGTGGCCAGGATGCCCCGTAAGCTTCCGCTGTGCCCCACCTACTCCCCTAGTTTTACCCCGCCCACCACATCGCCCCGCCCTTCCCATCACATCGCCCCGCCCAATCGCTCGCAGTGTTCCCAACCTCTAAAAATGCTAGCTGGCTAGCCTCCAGCCAGGAAAATTGTTTCTCTCAATCCTCTGGCTCCTGCTCCTCTGTCCATCAACATGCAACCACAACAACTTAAGCTATGAAGAGGGTTAGCTTCAGGAACTCATTTTAGGGTTGCGCCCACTAGGTGTCACATTTTATTTTCTGCGATCTGTGCAAACAAAACAGAAAACAACTGAGTAGCAGAGCAGCCTAAGTTGCTGTGTATATTGAGACGTTGAAGACGAATTCAGAATTTTGTTTGTTTTTTGTTTTTCAAGATAGGGTTTCTCTGTGTGTATGCCTGACTGTCCTGGAACTTGTTCTGTAGACCAGGCTGGCCTTGAACTACCAGAGAGATGCGCCTTGCCTCTCCCAAATGCTGGGATTAAAGGTATGCGCCACCACCGCCCGGCTATTTTTTTTTATAGTTTTATCTATCTACCTATCTATCTATCTATCTATCTATCTATCTATCTATCTATCTATCTATCTATGAATTGGTGTTTTGCCTGCATGTGTCTGTCCGGGTCCCCTGGAACTGGAGTTACAGACAGTTGTGAGCTGCCATGTGCGTTCTGGGAACTGAACACCGGTCCTCTGGCTGAGCAGCCAGTGCTCTAAACCGCTGAGCCATCTCTCCAGCCCCCAGAAACTATTTTTAATCATCTCCCAGAAGGGTTTTATTAGATTAAAAAAAATACTCTATTTTAGGCTGGACGACGGTGGCACACACCCTTAATCCCAACACTCGAGAGGCAGAGGCAGACTGATCTCTGTGAGTTTAAGGCCAGCCTTAGTTCCAGGACAGTCAGGACTACACAAAGAAGCCCTGTCTCAAAAAAACCAATAAATAAATAAATAAATACGAAAAACAACCAAGTAAGTAAGCAAGCAAATGAACAAAGTTCACTCTTTTATTTTTGAGGAATAATGCCAAAAAAAAAAAAAACTTTTCTAAGGCTTGTCAAGTGACTCTCAATTCTAACCAGTTAAGCTTCTACTTAGAGATATTTTTGTTTAACCTGATATATTCAGAAAGAAAAATTAGAGCATTGTTCATTTCAATACACCTTTGGCAGTCTAATATTCTTGGAAGGATTTTATCTTACATGCTTGAAATATGTTTGAAAGTTTGGAGGAGTCAATTGAGCTCATTGAAATTTATGAAGAATATTTACCACTTTAACTAAAAACAGCCTGTCAAATCAAATTCAGCTGCTGTTCAATTGAAATGGGGTGGGTGCGCTGGAGATGGGATGCAGTTGGTAGAGTGTGCTTGTTATTTGGCGGCGCGCTTACCCTGCAAGGAAATGTCACGAAACACGACAGAATCCACTAACAAGAGTTTTATTAAGATAAGAGAAAAGGACAGGGGTGCTCAGGCCTGTTAAAGAGATGCGTGCGTGGAGAAGAAGGAAGCCGGGAATATGGTGCCGGCTTATAAAGGCTGGGTCGCGCATGTGTACACAGGTGTATGTGGCTACTCACCCATGCGCGCTCTTACGCAACCATGCAAAGCCACGGGGTCCTGGTCACGGGGTCCTGGTCACATGCCTTGACCCGGAAATGGCTATTTTGACCTGGAACTGGCTAGACGGAAGTGTCTAGGTCAGCCGGACATGCCCAACCATGGGGACGTGTTGTGAATCTATTAGAGTGCTCACTTTGAGTAAGAAGCCCTGGGTTTGATCTCCAACACTGAGCATGGAGCCACAGACCTGTGATCTCTGTACTCAGGTAGAGAGAAGAAGTTCAGAAATTCAAGGTCATCCTTAGCTACACAGTCAGTTGGAGGCCAGCCTGGGATATATAAGAACTCTCAAAGAATAAAATAGGGCCAGGTGGTAGTGGCACACACCTTTAATCCCAGCACTCAGGAGGCAGAGCCAGGCGTTTCTCTGTGAATTCGAGGCCAGCCTGGTTTACAGAGTGAGTTCCAGGACAATGGGGAGAAGGAAGGAGAAAAGGGATAAAACAGGACTCGTGAGATGCTCAGCAGATAAAGTGTTTATTGTGCAAGCCTGACAGTGAATTTGTCTCGCAGGCACAAGAATATATCATAGAGATTCAGCTGCGTATTAAAGCTGAACTTTGACCTGCCAAGGGTCTGTCAAAAGGCAAGTCATGCCGGGCGGTGGTGGCGCACGCCTTTAATCCCAGCACTCGGGAGGCAGAGCCAGGTGGATCTCTGTGAGTTCGAGGCCAGCCTGGGCTACCAAGTGAGTTCCAGGAGAGGCGCAAAGCTACACAGAGAAACCCTGTCTCGAAAAAACAAAACAAAACAAAAAACAAAACAAACAAAAAAAAAAACAAAACAAACAAAAGGCAAGCCATTTATTTTGAATATTTGGTGTTACCCAGCCTTCAATATTTCAGCTGTCTTCTGCTATGAAATCCTTGCGTGCCCAGACCAATTGGTAAACAGTTCAGCTCCCCAGACCTCCTGAACCTACTAAGTTACTAACTGCCCTGCTGAGTTTAGGAGACAAGCTGGCGGGAGACGCCTAGCTTTGTTTCCTGAGCTAATGAAGCTCAGACCATCCCCTGGCCTTGAGGAGGCCTAGTGGTTCTCCAGAGCACTTTGACTGAGAACAAAAGAGGTTTTCACATATCAAGGTAAGAGATAAAACAACATTCCTGAGGAATCACGTGCCCAAGGAAAGAAAAGGCAGGTATTTTCTGTAGACAGGGAGATAACAGAATGGAGAAAAGAGAATGGAAGAAATAAACGGGTAAGAACTTGAGAGGAACAAACTGAGATGGGGAAGAACTAGATTGAAGGGCTAGAAGAGAGGACTAGAGGAACAAGATGGGAGATGAGGAAGAGCCAGATGGGGAAGAACAAGATGAGGAGGAGCCAGATGAGAGAGAAGGAGATGGAAGAGGAGCTGATAGGGGAAAGAACTAGATGGATGAGAACCTAGAAGGGACAGAACTAGATGAAGGAATTAAGATAGAACCTGGAGGGGACAGTAGATAAATATAGAGAGAAATCAGGCAAGAAAAGAGCTAGACATGAGAGCAGAATAGGAGCTGTGTAGAGAGAGAACTATCACAGAATAATAAAGTATATGAACTAAGGAGTTTCGTGTACATAGATTTATTTCTTTTTATCAAAGTTTAATGATCAGCTGGTTGTAGATTCTTCCCGGACCCTGGGAGGGGACTACCGAGGGGCTGGACCCCTCTAGTCCCCGATAAATTTGATCCTGGAACCCATAGAAAGGTGCCAAGAGAGAAACAACCCCACAGGGTTGTCTTCTCACATGTCTGCTGTGACACACACTCCCTCGCACATACACACAGGCACACGATAATAACAAGCACAAAGGGGAAAAATGGTATTTTTACCTTGGAGACCTCTTCTACTCTTGGGAGTTCTTTCCTCATTTCTCCTTTAAAATCTACATTTGCTCTGCTTAAAAATAAATAAATAAAATAATAAAGATAGAGAAGTTGGCCAGGGCGATGGTGGCACATGTCTTTAATCCCAGCACTCAGGAGGCAGAGCCAGGCAGATCTCTGTGAGTTCGAGGCCAGCCTGGTCTACAGAGTGAGATCCAGGACAGGCTCCAAAACTACACAGAGAAACCCTGTCTCGAAAAAACAACAAAAACAAACAAACAGAAACAAACAAACAAACAAAAATAGAGAGGTAGCCTCAGAGACCAAGACAGAGATCCAGACAGAGGTCAGGAGCCAAGCTAGACCAGACCACAGTGCTGTATCTCACTGGGATTTCCTGTCAGTCCTAGTCTGCCCTCTGAGGGTCACACCCACCTAGAAGACCCCTCTCCCTTGCGATGAGCTGTACTACTGCTTATTTACTGCCCTTTCGGGTGGTGAGTTCCTTGACCATGGCAGCTGTGACTTTACTGATTTCCCCATCCCAGAACTTAGCCACATAGACCCCCTCAAGGAACACACAGTGGTGGGAAAGGCAGATGCCTGCTCTACGGTGGTTCTCAACCTTCCTAACGCTGCAACCCTTTAACCCAGTTCCTCATGTTGGGGTTGTTGGTTAAACGGCATGCGCTGCTCGTGGCTGGCCGCTGCCCACGGTGGCTATGCCGGCGGAGGAGAGTGCTGATCGGAAGAATCACAGCCATGGTTACCTTTTTTGAGCTTTATTGGGGGGCGGGGGGAAGAGAGGGAGAGAGAGGACAGACAGAAGGAAGGAGCAGAAAGGAAAGAGAGGGCCGCAGAGAGCGCCCACCCGCTTTTTTGGCTGGGATGCCGTCGCAGGCTGATGATGTAATTAAGGACAGAATCCTTACAGGGGTGACCCCCAACCATAAAATTATTTTCATTGCTACTTCATAACTGTAATTTTGGTGCTATTAAAAATCGTAATAAAAATATTTTCAGAGATAGCGGGTTGGCAATGGGGTCGCAGACCCACAGGTTGAGAAGTACTCCTCTACCAGTCACTGCCGCAGATATAGCCAAACAATTTTAGTAGCTAGAGAGGGCTCACCTCCCCAGGGAGCTTCATTCTGGGAAGAAACATTCAGAATTTGTATTGCTGCTTCTTTGGGGAATTCAAAGAAAGTCCAGTAAATTCAGAGACTCTCACCAGACATGAAGGCACATGTCTGTAATCCCAGCAATCGGGAGGCAAACAGGCAGATCTCTGTATGGTTGAGGCCAGCCTGTTCTTCACAGTGAATTCAAGAAATCAAGAACAGGCAGGGCTACATAGAGAGGCCCTGTCTCAAAAAAAAAAAAACAAAAACAAGGCCCCCCTGGGCTATATGAGACATTACCATTTAGAATATATATATTCATCTTTTAAAGACCAGTTCAGTCTGTTGGAGAGACGGGAGAACACCCAGTACACCTCTCCATTCTCCTTGAAAGGAGAAGAAACAAGAAGCCACCAAACGTGGGCATCTGTTCACATTTCAGCCACATATGAAATTTCTTTCAGTTCTCCTTTCCTAGCTTGGGGCCTTTGAGCATTTTCTTTCCTCAACTTGAATTATTTTCCTCACCCCTTCCCTTTGATTAACCCCTGCACAGTTTGGGAATTTTCACTTTAACGTCACTTTCTCCAGAGGAAGGAGGCTTCCCTCTCCCCCTCCCCTGCCGCTGGCTGGTTGCCACCCACTGCTTCACGGGAGCCTGAGCACTTCGCCGCTTGCTGCCCCCTGCAGGCTGCAATATGCAACAGCAGGGACCACCCGCTTGCACCTGCCTAGTAAAGGGGGCTCAGCCCAGCACTTGGGAAGTGATCAAATACATGTAATTTGCATCGAGTTTCACCAATCAGTGCAGCTTCCTCTTTTTCTTTTCTTTTTTTTTAAGGTTAAACTTAATTTTTAAACATGTGTGCCCATGGAAGCCAGAGAGGCTAGATCCCCCTGGAGCTGAAGTCACAGGTACTTACTTGCGAGCTGACTGATGTGATTGCTGGGAATTCAAATCCTCTGGGAAAGCAGAAAGGGCTCTTAACTGCTGAGCCATCCAACCTCCCTGACTTCCTCATTTTAAATATAAAAATAGTGAAATGACTTTTCTTGTGTTCTCAAGTTAATGGTGGAACTGGACCCAGAAAACTCCTCAGCCTTCCAAAGCACCGTGGTAATGAAGGCGGCACCACTTTCTCACTGTCTGAGTTTCTGTTTCTTCTCAAATGTGCACAAAAATGGAGTTCTCTGAAAAACTTTTTTTTTTTTTTTTTTTTTTTTGGTTTTTCGAGACAGGGTTTCTCTGTGTAGCTTTGGAGCCTGTCCTGGTACTCACTCTGTAGCCCAGGCTGGCCTCGAACTCACAGAGATCCGCCTGCCTCTGCCTCTCTGAGGAACTTTTTAAAAACTTTTTTTTTAGCCAGGCAGTCCTTTAATCCCAGCACTCAGGGGGTTAGCCTGTTCCAGGACTGTTGTGATTTATTGTTATATGCGGGGAGGGGATGGGGGGAATGGACCTGAGGGTATCCCGCGCGTGCAAGGAAACATGCTGGCATGCTGGGCAGATGCAGTGGCACCAAGGGGAGGGGTCAGAATATTAACAAGGACAGCCAAGGCTACACAGAGAAACCCTGTTTCCAGAAAAAAAAATTTAAACTTGGCAGTGGTAACCAGAAAACCTACCCTATTTTCTTCCTTTTAAAATTTTTTATTTTTTGCCAGGTGGTGGTGGCAAACTTCTTTAATTCCAGCATTCGGGAAGCAGAGGCAGGCGGAATCTCTGTGAATCTGAGGGCAGCCTGGTCTACATGGCGAGTTACAGAGAAGCCCTGTCTCGAACAACCAAAAGTAAAAAACTTTTTTTAAAGATTTAGTTTTGTTGTATGTGTATGTTTGATCCACATGTATGTAAACGTAACTTGTGCATACAGTGCCCGTGGAGGCCAGAAGAGGGCGCTGGATCATGTGGAACTGGAACTAGCATTGTGAACCTCCATGTGGGCGCTGGGGAGCTAGAGTCCTCTGTCAGCAAGTGCTCTTAAACACAGAGCTGTCTCTCCAGCCCTCTTGGGGAAAAATTAAAAGCTAACTACTATTTTATTTAAGTGCTAGTGATTGAAGTATGCTAAGTATAGTGGGGGAGGGCGGGAAGCCTAAAACTACAAGGAGAAATTCCCACACTTTAACAACCAGACCCTGACTGTTTGGAGCCTGGCCCCAATGACTTGCGATTCCTCATACAGACATTCAGAGCTTAACTCTAATGACCCAGGAACATCCAGTCTCAAGAAGTTCAACGGGCGCTGGAAATGTACTAGCTAACAAGATGGAGAGATGTCACTTATATGAACACAGATATCCATACAACAACCAGGGCAGCAGAGGATTTCTCTCTGAGATGTCTCCAAGTCTCTGTCTCTTGCAGCATTTTATTTAATCTTTTTCTATCTGTTTTGGTTTGGTAAATACTTTTACCCCAGTACCTCCCTTTGGTCACCTCTGGCAAAACACAAGCACACGTTCTCCCACTGAGCTGTGCCCCTCCCAGGAACACTGAGGCAGTATCTCGCAAGGTGTTCTTATACTCTGGCTTAAGTGGTCCTGACAAACCCCAAGAGTACTTGAGTCTTCAGATGTACCCACCATGCCCCAGGGGATCCAGGGACATTGGATTCAAAGGAAAACCGTTGTCTTTGAGGAGTACAGACTAGGTGTTCATCAACTTTTTAATATGAAAACTCAAATCTATATAAAATGTTCACAGGTAGAAAAATAAATGCCCGTCTACATTTCATCTAGATTCATCAGTGGTGTGCTGTGTGTATAGAGATATAGATAGGCACACATGTGCATTCTATTTGTGTACATGTCTACATATACTGATTTTTTTTTAGCTGAACCATTTAAAAATTGGCCGCAGTCATCATTTAGAGTTTACTTCAAAAAAAAAAAATTAAAATAAAAAAAAGCCGGGCGGTGGTGGCTCACGCCTTTAATCCTAGCACTCGGGAGGCAGAGCCAGGCGGATCTCTGTGAGTTCGAGGCCAGCCTGGACTACCAAGTGAGTTCCAGGAAAGGCGCAAAGCTACACAGAGAAATCCTGTCTCGAAAAACCAAAAAAAAAAAAAAAAAAAAAAAAAAAATAGAGTTTACTTCAGCACGTGTCCCCTAAGAACAGGAACACTCTATACAACACATCTTGATTGTCACAATTTTACAATACTGTTAGCTAATATGCATTCAGGTTCTAATTTCTCCAACATCAATTATGTCCTTTACAGTGGCTTCTTTTTTTTTTTTTTTTTTTTTCCGAGACAGGGATTCTCTATGTAGTTTTGTGTCTTTCCTGGATCCTTGCTCTGTAGACCAGGCTGGCCTCGAACTCATAAAGATCTGCCTGCCTCTGCCTCCCGAGTGCTGGGATTAAAGGCGTGCACCACCACTGGCTGGACAGGCTTTTTTTTTAAATTATTTTATTTTATTTTATGTGTATTGGTGTGAGGGTGTCAAATCCCCTGGAACTGGAATTACAGTTGTGAGTTAACATGTGGGTACTGGGAATTGAACTCAGGACCTCTGGAAGAGCAGCCAGTGCTCTTAACTGCTGAGCCATCTCTCCAGCCCCAAGGCTTCTCTTTTTTTTATTTATTTTATTATTTTACATGAATTGGTGTTTTGCCTGCATGTATGTCTGTGTGAGGGTGTCAGACCTTGGAGTTACAGATAGTTATGAGCTGTCATGTGGGTGCTGAGATTTGAACTCAGGTCCTCTGGAAGAGCACTCAGTGTTCTTAACCACTAAGCTATCTGTCCAATCCCCCCCCCCCTTTTTTAAATGTGTTTTGCTTGCATGTTTGTCTGTCTGTAAGAATGTTGGATTTCCTGGAAATGGAGTTACAGACAGTTGTGAGCTGCCATGTGGGTGCTGGGAATTGAACCCGGGTCCTCTGGAAGAACAATCAGTGCTCCCAACCACTGAGCATCTCTCCAGCACCTCCAGCCCCCCTTTTAAAATCCAGGTTCCAGTCAAGAATCCCAAACTGCATTTGGTTGCGATGACTTGGTGTTGGTTTTTGTTCTTTGAATCAGGGTCTCATGTAGCCCAGGTTAGCCTTGAGCTCTCTATGCATAATAGCAGAACCTCTGACCTTCCTGCCTCCACTTTCCCAATGCTAAAATTATAGTACCACTACCCCTCCCTGTCTTGGGTCTGTCTGTCTGTGTCTCCCCCTCAGTTTTTTTAAACAAATTCTCTCTATATAGCCCTGGCTGTCCTGGAACTTGATATGTAGACCAGGCTGCCCTTGAATGCACAGAGATCCACCTTCCTCTGCCTGCTGAGTGCATGGGCCTAAAGGCATGCATCACCATGTCCAGCCAATTTTATATTTTAATATTGATATTTGAAGAGTCCAGGATAGTTTTGTAGTAACATGTAATATTTGAATGTCTGATTATTTCTGCATAGTTAGGTTCAGATTAAACTTTTACATTTTTTTCTACTTGCACAATCTTGATGCTGAGGGTCCTTTTTTATTACAATGTCTCCACCTCCTCTCTGTAGTTTTTATTGCTGTTTGTTTGCTTGCTTTTGTTTTTGTTTTTTGAAACAAGGTCTTGCTATGTAACTCAGGTTGGACTTGAACTCCCTGTATGGTCTAGGCTGGCACTGAACTCAAGGCACTCCTGCCTCTCGACAGGCATGCATCCCCGCACCTGTCTCTAGGTGCAGATATGAGAAAGCCTTCAAGACTTCTAAGCTTGGAGAGCTAAATTCTGTCTTCTTCCTACCAGCTCCCAGCGGCTAGGACATGTTTGCTGGAAGGATCCTGGGAGCCAGAAGATAAACCACACCCTTGGTCTTGACAGAGTTCACGGACAGGGGCAGCTGCTGGCCTCGGGGCTTCCTTCTGGACAACCAGGGCAGAGGTGAACACTTCTCCAGGATTTCAGGTGCTCAGTGCCCAGCCAGCTCTTCGGAGACGGGTCACCTGAGGCCACAGTCACTCTCTGCTGATGCAGCTGTAAGGGAAACAAGAGGGCTGGGGAAGGTGGCCATGCTAGTGCTGTCCTGCTGGAAGAAAGGAATAGATGGCCAAGGGGACACGCGTGAGGTGGCAGAGGGAGCCAGAACAGCGCCGAAAGCAAAAGGAAACTTTAAATGAGAGTAAAATGGAAAAAAAAAAAAAAACAGACCGAAGGAGACCGCCAGGAGACAGGCACATAGGTAAAAGGGGAGAGGAAAGCAGGGGCGGAGACACAGAGTTTCTTTCTGGCCACAGAGAACAGAGGACAGCAACCGAAATGCGTCATCAATTATCTCCTGTGTCTTTGGCTTTGGGAACTGGACAGGGAAGACCGTTGTGGGGTAGGGTTTTTTTGTTTGTTTGTTTTTTCGAGACAGGGTTTCTCTGTGTAGCTTTGCGCCTTTCCTGGAACTCACTTGGTAGCCCAGGCTGGCCTCGAACTCACAGAGATCCGCCTGCCTCTGCCTCCCGAGTGCTGGGATTAAAGGCGTGCGCCACCACCGCCCGGCGGGGTAGGGTTTTTGATGGTTTTGGTTTTTGGTTCTTTTAGACAGGGTCTCACTGTGTAGCCCCAGCTGTCCTGGAAATCACTATGTAGACCAGGCTGTGGTCTCACAGAGTTCTACCTGCCTCTGCCTCTGAAATGCCAGGATTAAAGGTGACAGCTCCCACGCCAGGCTGTGACAGTTGCATTTATACTGGCGAGTCTAGGAAGGCACAATGGTTTCCCCCAGGGGCTGCTGGGGTCACCTGTTCAATCTGTACTTTCCCAAACATAGAGCTTTTCCTTTCTGCCCCAGAAGCTCAGCCCTGGCCCAGATGCTTCCCCCTTAACTCAGCACATCTGCTTTTCACGGGGCTGGCTACAGATGGGAACAGCCTCCTTGTGACACTGGGGTGAAGAGGAGGAGCAGGGGAGGGAGAGAGACAAAGGAGAGGGGTGAGGGAAGGGAGAACACTCAAAATAGCCTACCCTGGGGGTGGGGAGGATTCCAGAATCCCAGGAGGAGCCTGGCAGGGTGAGCTAAGGATACCAGGCAAGCAATGTCTTATGAGAAAAAGGCCAAGGGCGTAGGGAATCTGAGCAGCTGGATAGGTACAGCGCTGTTAGACCAGACTCCTCCTAAAGCCTGTGAGGACAGCTGCATAGAGGAACTTGTGCAGAGGGAACTTTCTGGCAATAATGTGCAATGTGTGTGCTTTCCTCTGGCAGGAAGTAAGGGCAGCTCAAAATGCTGAGTCAGGCCCTTCCAGGACCACAGTCAAAGAACCCTTGTCTGTCCTCACCCCAAAGAACCCCCAAGCCCACCCACCCCCACCACTTCTCACTGAGGAGGTTGAGGTGTGACAGGGGACTGGACAGGACATCCCGCAGGCTCTCCAGCCATTCCCGTTGTTCCTTCTCACTGGGGCAGGTGAAGATGAACTTCCGTTCTGGAGTGATGACCGTGAGTCCGGCCTTCCAGCGGTTCCCTCGGATACCCTTGGGCAAGTCCTCGGACACTCCATATCCCTGCTCCTGGCTTCCCAGAAAAACCTGGCCCTGCTCAAAAGCATCCTGAAAATGGAAGGCATGTGGTCATCAGAGGCTGTCCTGGGGCAAAGGGGCCCTTGCAACCCTGCCAGTCCCAAGGTCAAGCTTGGTAAAGAGATGTGCATGTCATTGCCAGATGGGACTTCGAATTTGAAACATTAAAATCTGAAATATATTGCACACAGTGGAAACACTAACATATAGAGAATACACCAGGCACTGGGAACTCAAAGGCTGTACTTTTTTTTGTTTGTTTTTGTTTTGTTTTGGGCACTGGGGATTGAGCGTAGACTCTCAAACATGCTAGGCAAACCCTTTACTGCTGAGCCTAGGCTCCTCCCCTCTCTCTTTAATTTTGAGACGAGGTCTCACCAAGTTACACAGATCGGCCTTGAATTTATTCTGAAGCCCAGGAAGTCTTTGAATTTGCCATCCAACTGTCTCAGCCTCCCCAGTCGCTGGGATTACAGGCTGGTGCCCCCAGACCCAGCTCAAGTGGTTTACATGTTAGCAATTTCTATATTCATCATGGCCGCCTCTGAGTCAGACATTCATGCTAAGCCAATATTTTGGTAAGAAGGGAAAGGCCGCATAGAGAGCTAAATGCCTACCCAGCCCAGGGCAGGGCTCTACCATGGCAGGACAGAGCCCAGAGCCCAGAGTCCAGCCAAACTGGTTCCTGAGCCCACAGCCCTAACCACTCCACTCTAGACCTCCTGGTTACAAAGGAGTGGTTGGTTACACCTGACTTTAACCACAGCTGTCAGCACTGGGGATCCCGAGAGGAGCTCAGTGAGAAGCAGGGGCACAGGGGAGAAGTGGGGGCACAGGGGAGAAGCGGGGGCACAGGGGAGAAGCGGGGGCACAGGGGAGAAGCGGGGGTACAGGCTTTCCTGTCACAGGTTCCCCCGTCCTGGGATTCTGAGAGATGGTCTTTCTGTACACTCTGAGATCAACACTAGCCCACCTGACTGGGAACATGCCAAGGAGGTGTCAGGAACGGCTCTTACCAGGGGGTTCTTATAATACAGCAACCTCCGCTCCAGGGCATCCAGGGCAAACCATCTCTTCTTGAAGGGTTCTCTCTGCTACAAAAGGAGGAACCTCTTACCAGACATGACAAAGCCAGGCACAAAGGTCAGGGCCAGCTCAGAGGTCATCACACTGTTTCTCCAGCCTGGCTTCTGCAATCAGACACCATAGCTTCTCCCCAGGGGCCAGCTCTGGGAGTGCATCCCCTCCCCAGATGACGGCCATAACAGCAGAGCTGGGACTGGAGTCCAGCCAAACTGGTTCTAGGGTCCACAGGTCCGAACACCTATTCAGACTCTGAGGTGTTTGTTTGTTTGCTTGATTGTTTTGAGACAGGGTCTCACTGTGTAGTCCTGGCTGGTCTGAAACTTGCAGGGATTCCCCCCAGCTTCTACCTGGGGAATGATGGAATTCAAGGAGGACACCACCAGGAGCCAGCACCTGCTCAGACTCTGAAGGCTCCGCCCAGCCCATCTCTGCCCCCCCCCCACCTTCTTCCTCCCTCTCTGTTAGCTTTGCTGGGCACTGCCAGGTGCTGCCCGGAGTGGAAGGGTTACTTCCCTCTTCCTCCGACTGTGGACAAAGAAGTCTCAGAAAAAAGGAAGCCAGGAAAGTCAGAAGTGGCTTCTGCTCACAAAGGCGAAAGTGCTGGCCTTGGATCAACTGTAACCTAGGTCAGGGAGGAGAAAGACCTGAGGCAAGAACCAGGGACTGCGTCTGGCTTCTGAGGGAAGGAGGCTGCACACCACCATTTGACCATGTTTCCAACTCCCGAGGCTGGCTTTGCTTGCTTGCTTGCTTCCTTCCTTCCTTCCTTTTCTTTTTTTTCCGAGACAGGGTTTTTTTGTGTAGCTCTGGCTGTTCTGGAACTCACTCTGTAGACCAGGCTGGCCTTGAACTTGGAGACCCACCTGCCTACTGAGTGCTGGGATTAAAGGCCTGCACCATCACTACACAGCTCCTGAGGCTTTCTTTCACACGGTCCTCCAGCACCTTTCAGGATCCTCCTAACAACCATCCTCTACCACATTATAACTGTGTTTTTTGCATTGAACCCCTGCACTCACGCAAGCTAGGCAAGCCCTTTACCTCGAGCTACTCACCACACCCGACCCCACCTTATTACATTTTTTTTTAATTTTGAGATGGGAGGGGTGCTCACTAAGTGCAGACTGACTTTGAATTTGTTATGTAGGCCAGGCTAGCTCGCATTCTTCGGCCTCAGCCTCCCGAGAATCTGGGTCTGTGGAACCCTTGTCTGGTCTACAGGAAACCCCAGGCTCCTCCTCTCAGGGGCAGCTCCTCTCTTCCTCCTTAGATGAGTGTGAGGGCACAGGCCCTGGTGAGGGGGTGTGGGCCTAGTCACGAAGAGCCAGGCTGAGTGGGAGGAGAGAGGACACATGGCCATGGTCTTTCAGACTAGCCTGTGTCTCCCTGACACTGTCTTGGCGGACTCTGTGGATTCAGAAACATCCGCTCCAAGCTCTCTCTCTAGGGAATCCCTTCTCAGCACCGCTTTCCCAGGGTTTGCTGAAGCCTGACTGTGATCAGAGGAAAGACTGGGATGAGATGACAGGATGGCACAGGAGAGGCAGAACCCCCTCGAGCAGTGCTGGGTCCCACAGCAGCCAGCTCCTGGTCTCTGCTCGGTCCTTCAACACAGAGACTCACAAATATCCTCCTTTCTCTCTCTCTTCAGCCCCCCCCACCCCCACCCGTGCTTTTCTGCCTTATGAGCGGCTGGGATAGGACCATGTTAAATAACCCAGAAAATGTACCTTGGGCCCAGTCTTCTCCATGAAGCCTTGTTTGAGGTAGTTCCTGGTGATGAGCGGCACGAGCTGTGGGGAGAGACAAGGCTGACTCCCTATTCACACCCAAAGCTTCAGACTGAACGAGGCCCCAAGACAAAGGAGAGGTTGGGAATGGAGAAGGGAGTGTGCTACTCATGGTTGATGGGTTATATTCGGAGTGTGTGCTGGATATGATGCAAATAGTTCAACGAAGCCAGTCAGTGGGCCCCGATATGTCTGTAGAGTTTTCCAGCATGGCCCAGTCATAATTTAAGTGCATCATTCATCCCAGATCATAGATTCAGGCAAGGCTGTCGAGAGACCCACTTGTCAACAGGTGTGGTGGCGAATGCCTTTAATCTCAGTACTTGGGAGGCAGAGAGGCAGGAGATCTCTGTTTTTGAGGCCAGCCAGGTCTATGGAGTAAATTCCAAGATAGCTAGGGCTACACAGAGAAACCATATCTCAAAAAGCCAAAAAGAAGAAGAGGAGGAGGAGGAGGAAGAGAAACCCATTTGTCTGCTGTGGCAGGCTCTGGGTACAATTCCCAACCACCCTGGGTAGTAGATTTTATCAGCCTCACCTTACTCACAAAGAAACCAGGCCACAGAGATATGAGCAGAGACTTTGCTGAAGTCACATGGCTGATAGCATGAAGAGGTGGGATTCCCACTCGGGGCTGACAGGCAGCAGGCCTGTGCACCATCACACTATGCTACCACCACGTAAAGATGGCAGAGCCCCTTCACCAGACTCCTCACCATGCCAACTGAGACCTGCTCACAAAATCTGACACAGGCCACGAAGAGGCAACAGCAGGGTGGACAAATAGAGAAAACTCTGGACTGGGTGTAAGGAGTCCAGAATCTGGGATTGGGGATTTAGCTCAGTGGTAGAGAGCTTGCCTAGCAAACGCAAGGCCCTGGGTTCAGTCCTCAGCTCCTTAAAAATAAATAAATAGATAGATGATAGATAGATAGATAGATAGATAGATAGATAGATAGATAGATAGATGAAGGAGACCAGAATCTTAGCACCACTCTGCCTTCAACCAGCTGTTACCTTGGTAAAGGTTCTGTCTCTGGGGGTCCATTTCCTACCGTGACCTCCAACAGCCCTCACAACCTGCTTTCCTATGCTCAGAGAAGCTTCCAGAAACGGACCATGGCTTCTTATGCTTCCTGAAAGTGGGGAGAAGGGGACTGGACAAATCCAGGGCTTCAAATGGCAGCCTAGACTTCTAAGACCAACAGCAGGGTCTCTGGAGTTACAGGGGCAAAGCTGAGGTGGGATGTAGAGAATCGTGATAGGGAACAAGAGAGAGAAGTTGAGGCCTAAAATGAAAATCTACACTAGACTATTCCATTTCTCCTCAACATATTCTTAGGATTTATCCTCTGTTTGGAAAAACTAGGACCACCAGGGTTCCGTATTCTGAGTGTGAGCCAGCACAGGGCTAGTCTAGGCCTAGGGGAACAAGAGAAACAAGGAAGTCACCTGCCGGAGTTCTCCTTCAGGAGCCTTTCCTGTCCTCCAGACACTGGCTCCCTCTGTTTCCATGATAGTCTGGCAGGTGGCATCGGGCCATGGTGACATGACAGCTGAGCACACTGAGCTCAGGGGTGATGTCATGTGCTGCGCAGCACCCTAGGCTCTAACTCCAGGGAGTTTACTTCCTTCATTCCCCTCCTCCATCCCTCCTTCCCTTCCTTCCTCCACCCTTGACATGTTTTCTGTGTACCCCGAGCTGGCCTGATTTTGAACTCACCATGTAGCCCAGGCTGACCTCAAGCTTTCTGCAATCCTCCCACCTCAGCCTCCAAAGGGATGGGACGATAGGCCACCAAGCCTAGGTTCTTTCTCCTCGTGCTGAGAATGGGACTCAAGGTCTAACACAAACGAGGCCCACGCTCTGCTATTGAGCCACACCACATTTCAGATGAAAGCATTACAACTCGGCAAATACTTCCTGGGCTCCCAGCACCAAATTCTTAAGCCCGGGCACCACACCTAAACGTAGGGAAGACAAGAGAGAGGGGCAGGCAGGGCCGGTAGGAGACGAAGGAACATGGAGGACACTGGTCAAAGGCTAACGTCCTCCATGCAGGTTAGCAAACACAGGAAGCCAGGCCAGATTAAATAAGGCTGAGCACCTGCTCCATACCCTCCCCTCTCCTGGGTCAGCAGTCAGCACTCTGGACTTTCACTGAGCCAGCAGCAACCAGCTCTGGGTGCTGACTAAGCACAGCAACTTCAGCTTTGGGCCCTGACCCCTAGCCTTGCTGGAACTGTGCCTAGGGAACTTCTAAATGGGTACATCACTGGGCCTGAAGTCGACCCTATCCCAGACATCCAGCTCCCTGTAAACCCTGGGAATTGAGGAATGTTTAGGCTTTCAATGAAAGTCTGACAGATGAGACTAAGAAACTCCAGGACCAGGCTGAGGAGATGGTTCCATGGGCAAAATGCTTGCCATGTGCTCAAAGGACACAGCTTTGGGCACCAGTACCCACATAAAAAGCTGAGCATGGTTGTGAGTGTGGTAATCTCAGCACTGGAGAGACACAGACAGGAGGATCCTTGGGGCCCTCTGGCCAGCCGGCCTAATGGGAGAGCCCAAGCCAACGAAGAGAGACTGTCTCAAGAAAATAAAGGTGGGCGGCAGCTAAGGAATGGTACATGAGGCTGATGTCTCGCCTCCCCATGCATATGTGTACACACACACACACACACACACACACACACACACACACACACACACACAAAGACCCCAGGAAGATGGCTTGGTGTCCACACAGAATAAATAAATTAATGTCAAAAACTAAAAAAAAAAAAAAAGGAAAGAAAGAAAAAAAAACTCAAGAAAAAGGAAGTTCAGGATTTCAGGGTGTGGTGACTGGGCCTGTAATATCAGTATTTGGGAGGTGGAGGGAGAGGAAGGTGAGGAGTTCAAGACCATCCTCAGTTACATAGTGACTTCTAGGCCAGCCTCAGTTATAAAAGATTCTGTCAAAAAGAAAGAAAGAAAGACAGACCCAAGTATCAGCATTGTCCCTTTGTCCCTGTCACTAAAAAAATTCCTTTTAACAGGAAGCTTAAAAGCCCTCAAGGCTGGCGGTGGTGGTGAACACCCTTGATCCCAGCACTCAGGAGGCAGAGGCAGATAGATCTCTGTGAGTTCCAAGCTAGCCTGGTCTACAGAGTGAGTTCCAGAACAGTCAGGGATACATATAGAGACTCTGTCTCAAAAAAACCAAGTAAAACAAAAGCAAGTCTATATCTTCAATTACAGAACCTCATAGGTAGAGGGACCCTGAAGGAGACCTGGACCAACCACTGTTTTTCTAATATGGAAACATGCTCAGAAAGGCCCATGATCTGTAAGGGTCACATAGCATGTCAGTGACAGAGCATTCATGAGGGCCTAGGCTTCTTGACTTAAAACATCATCCTCTGGCACATGCCATTCCAGCTTCCCCAGACAAGACTTCGAGAAATAGATGGAGGTCCCAAATGTCTGGGGATGATCAAAATTAAGTTCTCAGCTTACTGTTACCTTTACCACCACAGGCAGATACACTCCTGTAACGAGGAGGAACCCAACATCTTCCCAGGGACAGGGTACCACAGCACACAGCGGTGATCGCCAGGGAACAGCTCATTCCATTACTCACTTAACAGGAATAATCACCCAGCCCGATTGCCTGTTCTAAGTAATTACTGTATAGAAAGTTATGAGACAAAATGGGTCAAAAACACTTTGCATGTAGTATGTAGGGCACATTTGCATATTTTAGCAGGAGAGATCACAAAGATGTTCGAAGGCTGAGATCCTGGACCCTGCAGAGACTTGTTACCCTCCAATCTCCCTGGCTTTACCTGCAATAAACCTAGTCTAGCCCCTGAGTATCTTAGAGTTATCAGGAGACAGGAAGAGGAAAAGGGAGGGGATGGGAGACTCAGAAGCCAAGCCCACATTTAGCTCACCTCAGACTCTGGGAGATCAGGAAAGGCCAATTTTAGGTATTGCAGGCGGGCTGCACGGAGAGCATTGAACCAATCCACTATCTCCTGCCGGGGAAAATTCAAAGTACACACAGTGGTGAGATGGGTGCCTGTGGGAGGACCCTGGTGGCGGGGCTGGAGGTAGCAGGGTTACAGCACACGCACCTGCGGTCAGCAAATACACACATCACACAGTCAGAGCCCAGGGGACTGCCCTGAGCTAGTAGGAAGTCACGGACAGGAAGACCTCCCAGCCACGGAAAGAGACCTGTGTGAGCTGCACAAAATGGTTTAGTACACTTCCTAAAGCTTGTGAGAATCACCTGGGTTCCTGTTAGGAGACTCATGGGTGTGAAGTGGACCTGAGACTACATCCCTTCACCCTAGGACTCTCAGGTCCTGTGATGCTGTGGGCTGGTGGGACACACACTTCTTGGGGTAAGGGTGGGGGCTGCATATAGAGACACTCCTCCATCAGAGATGCTCAGGACCTGGCATGCGCACAGCCCACAACTGGATGAACTTTTATGTTGTCACAGTGAGAGACTAACTACATCCTTCATCATCGTGCAGCAACATCATCTCGCCTGGAGATGTTCCAAGGCGTTCTCAGCTGCTCTCTAGTCAGACATCCTTCCTCTTTTCTTCATCCTACCCCCATGCTTTCATTTTATGTGCATGTGTGAGTGCCTACATGTATGTATGTGCCCCCAAGTGTGTGTGTTGCCTGCAGAGGACAGAGGAGAGCCTTGGCTCCCCTGTAACTGGAGCTATAAGCAGCTGTGAGCCACCATGTGAGTAATGAAAACAGAACCCGCTGGGCGGTGGTGGCGCACGCCTTTAATCCCAGCACTCGGGAGGCAGAGCCAGGCGGATCTCTGTGAGTTCGAGGCCAGCCTGGGCTACCAAGTGAGTCCCAGGAAAGGCGCAAAGCTACACAGAGAAACCCTGTCTCGAAAAACCAAAAAAAAAAAAAAAAAAAACAGAACCCAGGTCCTCTGGAGGAACAGCAAGTGCTCTCAACTGCTGAGCCATCTCTCCAGCCTCCCTGCTCTGCCCTTTCACAGTATCCAGGGAAGCCTGTTGCAACTGATCTGTATCTCCAGAGCCTTTTTTACTTTTTTTGTTTGTTTGTTTGCTTTTTTGTTTTTCGAAGTACAGTCTCATGTAGCCCAGGCTGGCCTCTTCAAACAGCTAAGTAGCAGAGGCTAGCCTTGACCTGTTGATCCTCCTGCTTCTTCCTCCCACGTCCTGGGATTGCAGGTGGGCACTGCCACACCTTTGTACTTGGTTGTTATTTTTGATGCAGGGTCTTGCCATGTAACTCACACTTGAACCTTGTTGTGATCCCTCCTACTTCTACCTCCCAAGGACTAGAATTATAAATGTGTCACCACACTCATCTTTCCTTCCTCCCTGCCCCCCTCCATCTCTCTCTCTCTCTCTCTCTCTCTCTCTCTCTCTCTCTCTCTCTCTCTCTCTCTATCTATCTATCTATCTCTATCTCTCTCTTTCTCTTTTCTTTGGTTTTTTTGACATAGGGCTTCTCTGTGTTGCTTTGCGCCTTTCCTGGAACTCACTCTGTAGCCCAGGCTGGCCTCGAACTCACAGAGATCTGCCTGCCTCTGCCTCTGGAGTGCTGGGATTAAAGGCGTGAGCCACCACTGCCCGGATTCTCTCTCTCTTTCTTTCCTGAAGAAATTTTCATTGAAAACTTATACCAAGGCTGGGCATGGTGGTATACACCTTTAATCCCAGCACTCAGCAGGCAGAGGTAGGTAAATCTATATGCATTTGAAGCCAGCCTGGTCTATATAGTGAGTTCCAGGATAGCCAGAGCTACATAGTGAGACTCTGTCTCAAACAAACAAATAAACAAACATACAAGAAAAAACTTATGCTGAGACAATTGGTAGCTTCAAGACAGAGCAAGGGGTTGGAGAGATGGCTCTGTGGTTGAGAGCACATTCTGTTCTTGCAAAGGACCTGGGTTTGATTCCCAGCACTCACATGGCCGCTCACAACCATCTGTAATTCTACTTCCAGGGGATCTGATGGTCTCTTCTGACCTCCAGGCAGTGCATGCTCATGGCATAGAGATAATACACACAGGCAAAATGCCTATACACATAAAATAACACACAAAATGAAACACAGAGTAAGGCAGTGCCAGGAACATAGTGGAATGTGTTATTTTATATTGTGATGTCTCCAGGTATTCTAAACCCAAGATCTCCTCTGACCTGAGACAGTCACTAAACCTTGCATAGGGACCTAAGAGCTATTATCAACCAAGAATTATAACTTAAAATATAGAATACAAAGATATATAAAAATGTAAAAACATGAACAAATGTATTTTACATATAAAATACATACATATTTATATATACAAATATATAAAACATAAAAATATGAACAAATATATTTTACATATAAAATACATATATATTTATATATACAAATATATAAAATACAAAAATACTCGACAACCCCTGGTGCATGGACTGTAACATGTCCTAGGTTCTGCATTGCAACTCTCCTGCATGCCTCCCCCTCACTGCCCACGCTTCCACCACCTCCTGCTCCCCCTCTCTCCTGACCTCTCTCTCTCTCTTAGCTACAACAGTGCAGTCATTCCATAGGTTAGTTTAGATGTTAGCATTCGGCTCCTGCCCAAGCCTTTGTCCTCTGAGAACTGCCAGCCTGATCCTCAACCCCCACACCCTGCAATCCCCACCCTGTCTTAGCTACAGCAGCTGGACCAACACAGACGCTGGGCTGGACTTATCAGATATGCTCTCTCCCAGGAATTTGGGATGAGGAGGCTGAAAGACTTGCTCAGATAGCTGTGGTGCAGGCCTTGGAGGCAGGCCTTGGAGGCACTACGGTGATTGAGAAAATCATTTGACTACAATTTCAACAGGATGCAACAAGTTCCTTTCCACCCCCAGGCCAGCCAGGGGCCTAGTCCCCTGAACTTCTGAGCTCTCCTACCCTGGTGTTTAAGGGCTTTCTTGGCAGGGTATGTTGGACTATATCTATAATCTCAGCAGGAGGAAGGCTGAAGCAGGAGGATTGCTCCAAGTTCAAGACCAGCTGGGCTACATAGCAAAACATGACTCCTCCTGAAAAAAAAAAGAAAGAAAAATAAAAGATGAAACACAAAAGTTCTTGGGTCTTAGGCATTAGGTAAATGGGGCCACCCCAGAAAAAAGGTACCCAGTATACACAGGGTCAAAAAAACACAGCACCGAAAAAAGAAAACAAGGCAGGCGGTGGTGGCGCACGTCTTTAATCCCAGCACTCGGGAGGCACAGGCAGGCGGATCTCTGTGAGTTCGAGGCCAGCCTGGTCTACAGAGTGAGTTCCAGGACATCCAGAGCTACACAGAGAAACCCTGTCTCGAAAAACCAAAAAGAAAGAAAGAAAAAAGTAAAAGAGAAACAGAGATTGCCTTCAACAGTTGCTACAATCCTGAGCGAGTAACTAAAACTAAAAAAGTGTAAAACAGTAACTGCAAGCCACTAATGCTTCTATTGCCCCTCACCGCTATGAAACACTTTCACACTGGTGGTACATGAAGCCCTGTGAGAGCCAGGTGTGGTGGTGTACATCTTTAGTCAGCACTCAGATGTGTTCTACCTGGTCTACACATCACTAGTTGCTCTTCCAGAGGACCCAGATTTGACTCCCAGCACTCACATGGTACCTCACAACTATATGTAACTCCCATTCCAGGGGAATCAGATACCCTATCGTAGCCTCAGTGAGCACAAGGCACACACATGCTACACAGATATACATGCAGATAAAACACCCCTATACATAAAATAAAATAATTTTCTTAAAATAGGTATTTGTTTTTACTTAATGTCTGTAAGTGCTTTGCCTGCATATATGTCTGTGACCACATAAGCGCCTGGTGCCCACAGAGGCCAGAAGACGGCACTGGCTGCCCCGGAACCGAAGTTGTGAACCACCATGTGGGTGTTAGGAACTGAACCTAGGTCCCCTCCAAAAGCAACACAGGCTGTGCTGAGCTATTCTTCCAGCCTGAAGACTCACAAAGTCTCAGGTAACATCGGTCCAGTGTGTGACATGTGGAAAGAAAGGCCCCGGTCCAATTTATCCACCTTTCCTCCCAAATCACAATCTCCAGCCCTACCTGGACTTGTCATGTCTTCATTGTTCATTTGGGGTGTGTGTGTGTGTGTGTGTGTGTGTGTGTGTGTGTGTGTGTGTGTTGTCGTCTCTCTAGCCCTGGCTGTCCTAGAACTCACTATATAGAGCAGGCTGGCCTCACACTCACAGAGATCCACTTGACGTTGCCTCCTGAGTGCTGGCTGGGGCCTGGTGTGTGCCGTCACAACCATCAGATTTGCCGTTTCTGGCTCGGGCCCCCTCTGCTAGCTTTTCTCTCACTGATGACGGAGCACTGCCCAGATATATTCCCAGGACTTGCAAGGTTCATCTCCTATGCCCCGTTCTGCCTTCCTCAGGTCTCTGACTCATGACAGAGCGGGAATAGATCCAGGCAAGCAGCGGCGGGTCTCAAGGGGCAGCTGAACAAGCACATGGCAAAATGTGCCGTGGAGGTGGTGAGCAGAGCCCAGGGGACTGGGTGCCATGCTGGAGACCGCAGAAGCAGCCTGAGCCATCTCACCTTCCCGCTGTCATGATACACAAAGAGGTTCCTGATGCGGCCCTCTCTCCTGTAGGTGATCTGCAGCCCATGGGGATGGCCTATCTTCTCTGTCTGGAAGGTGGCATTCAAGTCCTTGATGTGGATGACAGCCTTTGGGGCTTTACCCTAGAAGAGAGAAAGACGGTTCTCAAGATACTGGTGGCAATAGGTGCCTTATTGTAACCTTTGCCAAGGCCTTTAATACACACAAGCCCCCAGTACATAGCCCTGGGTTGCTCTAACAGCCAAAGGCACAGCTCTCCTATCGGTGGCCTGTGCTCATCATCCTCTTCCTGCCTAGTCACTCTGAGCTGGAAGCAGGTCTAGAAAGCCTTCACTTTGGACTCTTCACACGTGTTAGCCACAGAAACTTTCCTGGAGTAAATCAACCACTGGGGTGAAATAAACAGTCAGACAGAAGCAGTCTTGGGAGCTCAGAGCACGAGCGCGCGTGCGCGCACGCGCGCGCACACACACACACACACACACACACACACACACACACACACACACACGACGCATATTCTCTGTGCCTGTCCCTTGGGCTCTGACACGTGGTGGAGCACTAAATGATACCACAAAGGGATCCTGACCAGAGACATGATGATTCCAAGCCCCTAGACCTGAAGGAGCCACACTCTCTGGCCCACAATTTTTTTTAAATACAATTTAAAATTCCATTCTTAGTCACACTCAGCCTCATGTCACTAGTCAGCTAACACTAATGGCTGTGAGAACCAGATAGGGCATACACAGACTCCTTTGTCACCAAGGAAAGTTCTATGGAACCTCTCTGGAAGGAAACTTGGTCATATATCCATTAAAATGTTGAAGTGATTATTATTGTCGTTGCGTGTGACCGTGGGTACACATGTGCCACAGTACACATGTGGAAGTCAGAGGACAGCTTTCCAGGGTCAGTTCTCCCCTCCCACTATCTGCTCCAGGATTTGAACTCAGACCGTCAGGCTTGTGGGGTAAGCACTTTTATCCACGGAGCCATCTTCCTGACCTGAGTGTGTTGTCTGACCTCCAGTTTGCATCTAAGAATGTGCCACAAGGAAGTAACTGCATGACAATGCAGACACACGTCAAACGACGTTTGCTGGAGTATTACAAAGGCAGCAAGAGGTCTGGGGAATGTAGCATAGTGATAGAGTGCTGGCCTTGCATGTCCAAGGCCCTAAGTTCAATCCCCAGCACCACAAGCATGCACACACACACACACACACACACACACACACACACACACACACACACCACAAATCAACAAGGGAAACAAATTAAATGTTATCAATTATAATGGGTTAAATTAAACCATAGTATAGGCACACAATGGAATACTCCAGAATTAAAAGATAATTAAAAGCACATGCCTATACTCCCAGTTCTCGGGAAACTAAGATTGGAGTTCTGAGCCAGACTGGGCTCTAGAGCCAGATGCTGCTTCAAAATAAAACAATGACAATGAAACTAGGGCCTAGGATGCCGCTCAGAGGCACAGCACCAACCCATCTCAGTCACTGTCACAAAGATTTCCCATCAGGTGGTGGTAGAACACCCCTTTAATCCCAGCACTCGGAAGGCAGAGGCAGGAGGATCTCTGTGAGTTTGAGGCCACCCTGCTCTACAAAGTGAGTTCCAGGACGGCCAGAGCTGTAACACAGAGAAAACCTGTTTTGAAAAACAAAAACAGAAAAAACAATCCTCCAAAAGATTCCCCATCAGTCCCCATCAGTAATATTAATATAAAAAAGTGTTCATAGTATCTATGAGGAAGTAATACCAACTCCTAGAAAATAGCTATATCAGCAACCTATTATAAAAACACATAAATATCCAGGCGGTGGTGGCACATGCCTTTAATCCCAGCACTCGGGAGGCAGAGGCAGAAGGATCTCTGTGAGTTCGAGGCCAGCCTGGTCTCCAGAGTGAGTTCCAGGACTGTTTCACAGAGAAACAAACCCTGTCTCAAAAAACTAAAGCAAAACAAAAAACACATAAATAGCCAGGTGGTGGTGGTGCACACCTTTAATCCCAGAACCTGGGAAACAGAGGCAGGTGAACCTCTGTGATTTCGAGGCCAGCCTGGTCCACAAATGGAGTTCCAGGATAGCCAGCACTGTTACACAGAGAAAGCCTTTCTAGAAAAAAAAATACTCATAAATATGCATATTATAAATTTAAGGTTATTTGTGAACACACATTAAAAATATACAGCTATACCAATATTCGTTCTCTTTTTTTTTTTTAGTCAGGCTCTCACTATGCAGCTGTGGATGGCTTCAAAATCACAGAGATCCATCTGCTTCTGTCTCCTGAATATTGGTATTAAAGGTATACACCATCATGCCCAACCTTCTTACTAACTTAAAAAGAAATATGACATCACCATGATGTATAGCTCAATGGTAAAGCATGCATTGGTATGGAACAATCTTTGTACACTGTACATATGTATTACTCTCATTGGTTAATAAAAGAGTTGACTGGTCTATAGCTAGGAAGGACATGATTGGGAAGGAGAGCCAGACTAGGAGGATGCTGGGAAGAAGAATGGCAGATTTGGAGGAGTAGCAAGGAGATGCTGTGAGACACGAAGAGAGCAGGATGGGAAGTACATACATGAGGTAAAAGAACCTGAGGCAGCACATAGATGAGTAGAAATGGGTTAAGTTATAAGAGCTAGTTAAAAACAAGCCTAAGTAAGCTATTGACAGAGCATTTATAGTTAATACTATAATAAGACTCCGTGTGGTTATTTGGGCAGTGGCTGGCGGGACAGAAAAGCCTGCCTACATATAATGACCAACACGGAGCACCTACATCCACATAAGACCTGAGAAAACTTTAAAAACAACACCCAAAAATGGAGTCAAACCCAGCTTCCCAGTCTTGTGTCTCTCATGCTGGCCACAATACAGACCCAGGTGCCAACTACCATGCACTAGTACCATTCACTAAGCTGAGCAGTGCTGGTGACTGACATAGCAGTTTAAGATTCACATCATGTGATCAAAAATCAATTCAGATGTTCAGTAAAGATAGATCCAGATAGGGAAAAAAAACTCTAAACAGGTTACAGTGTGTTTAAAAATATAGGCTTGGGAGAGAAAAGACAAAGGGTATATACAGTCATAGACTAAAAAATAGTTTAAAAATAACAAGGTACTTTAAAAAAGGAATAAAGTAATAAAAAACAATAAGTCATGTAAAGACAGAAAATACAGGGAGTCTGAATATTGTATGTTACTGTGTTGTCTTTACATTTTTTTGACCACTGATAAAGGAGCAATAGCTACTAAGAGATAGTTGAATATGAAAGCTGCTAGATTAAACCGATCTATTTATTTTAAAAATATCTTAATTTCAAAATGGAAGTCCAAGGTATGTTGCTTTGGTAGAGAGGTTATTCTTTTATTTCCACAGGTTAATGAGAAGCTATGGATTCATTCCAGGTTGATATGGACCAGATTTGATCAGGCAAGACCCCCCTGAAAATCCTGGCTACAGGCATAAAGAAATAAACCTAGAAAAACTATAAAACACATAATGTATATTTTACATGTTGAAACATAAACCAAAAAATCATCTTTGGCTGACTTGTGTACAACACACAGTCTATACTTGTATTAATACAGACAGGTATATTACCTTTTGTAGTTTCGTGGCTTTACCTGCTGCCTTACATGATGCTCCCTGGACGGCAGGCTGGCATCTCCTCCTCTCCGCCTTCCTGTTCTCTCAATTCTCCTCTCTGCTAGTCCTGCCTATACTTCCTGCCTGGCTACTGGCCAATCAGTGTTTTATTTATCAACCAATCATCCACAGCAACCTTCAAAAGTTTATGTATTTTCAGAACAAGGGGACCAGACATCAATAAAAATGGATGGCATGAGCCACGTAGTGGTGGTGGTAGTGTATGCCTTTAATCCCAGTACTCGGGAGGCAGAGCCAGGTGGATCTCTGTGAGTTTGAGGCCAACCTGGTCTACAGAGTGAGTTCCAGGACAGGCACCAAAGCTACACAGTTTTGGAATTGCGAAGTCCTGCAGCACAAATTCTGGGTGCACAAATGTAGACAAATTTCTAAATGGTCTTATTAAATAAAAAACCCAGAGCCAAATATATGGGTGAAAGCCTTAGATCAGGGAAATAGGGAAAGCAACCAGCCAACCTTACCTCACCAACTCTGCAGCTTCCAAATGCAAGTTAACTTCCTGTCTACTCATGCCTTTATTGCCTTGCTGTTCTGCTCTCTCATTGGCTCTCTTAGCCCAGCTACCTCACTTCCTCTTCCTACACAGCTCTATCACTTTCTGTCTGTCTATACAGACTTCCAGGTCTCTATGGTTGGTAGTGGGATTAAACACGTGTGTCACCACACTTGGCTCTGTTCCCGAGTGTGGCCTTGAACACACAGAGATCCTGCTGCCAAGTGATCAGATTAAGGGCGTGTGCTGCCCAACTTTTGTGTTTATTTAAAATGGCTGGCCTTTCCCCCAATCTCCAGGCAAGCTTTATTTATTAACATACAAATAAAATATCACCACAGTTAGCTATTTAGGTAAAAAAAAAAAAAAACAAAAAAAAACTGCCCTTGCCTCAATTGCTGACTGTATGCTATCCAAACTGGACGAGCAGGAAGCAAAAGAAAGTGACTGCCAAACTTTGCCAAGACAAGGTAAGACAGTCCTTTAAAATTCCCTGCTTCTCAAAAATGTCTGTTTGATATACTAGGCCTGTAGGCCAAAGATGGATGTTCCAACATTACAGAAAAATTCTGGGTGACTGTCCAGGCAGACAGATGTCTCTGTCATTATGTAATATTACACCTTTCTGGGGTCTTTGATGGAGTTAAAGATTAAATAATTAGACTTAAATTTTTCATTAGTTATGGTAAAAGGCAAATTAGGTGTAAAACTTTAGACTTGAAAGGATAAGATTATTTAAGTAGAGTATTTTCTCTAATTTTGCCAAATACAAATGGATTGGATATTGTAATTCTTACTTGATAACAGTTTTTGTTGTATGTAATTTCACTATGTTAAAGTTAAAAGTTTCCCTTTTTATTAGACAAAAAGCAGAAAATGCTGTGGAACAATCTTTGTATATTGTAAATATGTATTACTCTCATTGATTAATAAAAGAGTTGACTGGCCTATAGTTGGGCAGGATAAGATTGATCAGGAGAGCCAGATGCTGGGAAGAAGAAGTGTGGAGTCTGAGGAGTTGTAAGGAGACGCCAAGAGACACACAGCGAGCAAGATGAGAAGTACATACACAAGGTAAATGAACGTCAGGGCAGCACATAGATGAATAGAAATGGGTTAATTTAAGTTGTAAGAGTTAGTTAAAACAAGCCTAAGCTATTGTCCGAGCATTTATAATTAATACTGTCTCTATGTGCTTATTTGGGGAGTGGCTGGAGCGACAGAAAAGTCTGCATACAATATATGCATGAGGCTCTGGGTTTGATACTTAACACCACACACACACACACACACACACACACACACACACACACACACACACACGCTAATAAAGACAATCTCTTTTACTGAAGCTTACTCCATACTTTCTCCTTCTGCATTTCCCACGGGCAGGCAGTCATGAGTTTAATGTCTATTCTACTTCCTTTCTCATACTTGTACAAACATATACATAGATTCATAGGCATGTATCTAGGAACAACTTATTGTCTTATGTAAGTTTTTAATTTGCTTTGTGGTCCTGGGGTCCAAGTCCTGGACCTTGATCTTACTAGACAAGTGCTCTACCATATAAGGACACCCCCAGCTCCCTTTCATTATTTATTTGTTTGTTTGTTTGTTTGTTTGCTTATTTGATGTTGTGGTACTAAGAACTAATCTAGGGCTTCACTTACTCTCTCACTGAGGGTTTTTTGTTGTTGTTGTTGTTTTTGTTTTTGTTTTATGTTTTGAGGCTGGATTTCTATGTGTAGCCCTGGCTGTCCTGGAACTCACGCCATAGACCAGGCTGGCCTTGAACTCACAGAGCTCTGCCATGGGATCCAGTACTGTCTTTGGGTATGCAAATGTATGCAGACAAAACATCCATACATAAATGAAAATAATTTTTTTTAAAAGGAGGAAAAGAAGGAAGAAAAGATGTGTGATAGATGGCTCATTTGTGCTCTGACAAACAAAGCCTGCCTGGAGATCAGAGGTCAGAGCTAGCCACTAGTTAACCGTAGAGGCTAGGCAGTGGTGACACACACCTTTAATCCCAGCTCTTAGGAGGAGGAAGCAGGAAGAGCAGGAGTTCGAGGCCACTCTGGGCTACACAAGATTGAACCAGTCTACAAAAGAAATAGAGCCAGGCCATGGTGGCTCACACCTTTAATTCCAGCACTTGGGAGAATCATGCCTTTGATCCCAGCACACGGGAGGTGGAGACAGGAATATAAGGCTGGTGGAGACAGGATCTGCAGCCTGTTCAGTCTGAGGATTTGTGGAGACAGCTCCCGCCGCCCCTTCCATCCCCAACTCCCTCTGAGATTTTGTGTAGGTAAAAAGTCTCTGGTGGCTGGCTGCTCTGCTTTCTCAGATCTTTCGGCCTTCCCCCTCCATATCTGACTCTGGGTTCTTACTGTTAAGACTAACTAGGGCCACGCTTCAAAAAGAAGTATTGAAAAAGTGAGTTGTCAGACTTCAAAACTGCAGGTCCCCATTTCACTCGGAGGGCTAACACTCTTCTCCTCCAAGGCTTTTCACTCAGTCCCAGACCGCAGCACAGCAGCTCACCCTTCTTGCACAGCCTGTTCCTCCAGGAAAGCAACAGGAAATACACAGACCAAAGGCCTCAAGTGCAAGCTGAAGAGCTCAGCCGTCACCCCTCTGGTCAGCTGCTCCTTCCCATTCCCTTTGTTAGCACTTTTTCTTTTCTGTTCTCTAATTCTGGAATGCCCCAGGGTTCAGTGCGGTAGCTGGCCTCCAAAGATGTTCTCACCACTTCCTTCTCTCCCAGTAGGCCCCATAAGCTCTACCCATAAGGATGTAGAATTGTATCCCTTCCCTTTTTTTCGCCCCTCCCCCGAGACAGAGTTTCTCTGTGTAGCTTTGGAGCCTGTCCTAGAACTCACTCTGTAGACCAGGAGCTGGCCTGGAACTCACTCTGTAGACCAGGAGCTGGCCTGGAACTCTGTATGTAGATCAGGCTGTCTCGGAACTCATAGAGATCCACCAGCTTCTGTTTCCAGGGCACAGAGACTAAAGGCAAGCACCCCCACATCCAGCAACAATCACTTTTGCTTAGAAAACAGCCCCAGGCATGGTGGTGGTGGCACACACCTTTGATTCCAGCACTTGAGAGGCAGAGGCAGGTGGATCTCTGTGAGTTACAGGCCAGCCTGGTCTATGGAGTGAGTTACAGAACAGCCAGGAGTGTTACACAGAGAAACCCTGTCTCAAAACAAAAAGAAAAGAAAAAAGAAAGAAAACAGCCTCTATGACATAAAGAAACCTGAGCTAGCTGTGCTTGGAATGAGCTCAACAACAGGGTGCTGGTCTGGGTTGCACAAATCCTAGTCCAATCCCTAACATCACAAGGGGAAGAAAATAGAAGAGGAGGTCACTGTGGCCACAGTGGTTCTCCAGGGCACTGGGCCAGTGAGGGAGAGTTCTGTTTTATTTTATTTTTTAAATATCTTGTTAGTCAGTTTTGTTTTTTGAGACAGGGTCTCTCTATACAGCCCTGAATGTCCTGGGACTCACTGTGTAGACCAGGCTAGCCTCTAACACACACATCCACCTGTCTCTGCTTCCCGAGTGCTGGGATTAGGGTCACAAGCCACTTTGCCTAGCCTCATTTAAATGAGTAAAGCACATTTGTAAATATATCTCGATAAAATTGGTTTTGTCCAGGCATGGTGGCACACTCCTTTAATCCCAGGACTCAGGAGGCAAACCCCGGTGGCTCTCAATGAGTCCAGGGCTATCCTGGACTACATATCAAGTTCTAGACTAGTAAGGTCTGCACAGTGAGACTCTGTCTCAAAAAGAAAAAAAAATTAGAGAACAATAACAATGAGATGGACCAACTTAAGTGATTTCAAGTGACCAGAGTGTGGTTGTTCGTGGACTGGATTGACAGCAGTCAAGGAAAAGTAGGAGAATGTCATGTTTGCCAGGACTGAAGTTCTCCCTAAGACATGGGGCTATCCACAAAGGCCTTAGTGAGCAGAGTAATCCTGAAGTAGCACAGGCAGCCTGGCCTCTTACCTCCTCCTTGGTGTAGTACTTCAGGAGGCCTTCTCTCGCCAGAAGGACAAACCTCCTTCTCAGGAACTGTGCATTGTCGCGTCCCCGCTTCCACAGGAACACTTCTCGGTCACCTTAACCACCAAGGGCGAGAAGAAGTGAATCACCAAGTCAACGCAAATAAGCTAAAGAATGCCTCAAGTTCCTGGGGGTAGAAAGAGCCTCCATCCGCCATTCAAATATAGCCAATCTAACTGGGCTAATTCAGGTGCAGGACACAGGGTCCCATCTGTGTAGTGGGAGTTCTCTCTGCCCATGACCTTGGGCTATCTGGTCTGATAGAGGTGGTGCTTCCTATCTGCCTACATGATCATTTAAAAGGGAGGAGAAAGGGGGTCTTGTTTCTTGGATGGTGAAGACCAGATCAGGCGGTGTGAAGTAACATGTGATCGGCTCCCAGCTTTCTAAGGACTCTGCAACCAGATTTACCTTATCCTGTATCAGTGAGTCTGTTTTCCCCATAGAATCCCTTAATACACACACACACACACACACACACACACACACACACATACACACACACACACACACATACACACACCATTGAGGTTCTCCTTACATATCTGGGGCCAACCTTATATAATTTCAGTCTCCACCACTGTGCAAAACCTTTCTGCCTTGACTCTCCCTGAGGTCGGTCGGCTTCACTGCAAGACAGGTGTGGCAGGGCCTGTTATCCTAGCACTTTGGCTGGGGAAGGAAAGTGGTTATGAGTTCGATGCCAGTCTTGGCTACATAGCAAGACCTTGTCATGAGAAAGAAAGGAAAAGATGTTGGAGAGATGGCTCAGCAGTTAAGAGCACTTGCTCTTGCAGAGGACCCAGGTCCCGGCATCCACATGACTGCTCACAATCATCCATAACTCCAGTCCCAGGGGATCAAACTCTCTCTTCTGACCTCTGAGGGCACCAGTACTGCATGTGGTGCACATACATACATTCAGGCCAAACAATCACACACATAAAAATAAAATTAATTTTTTTCTTTTTTGTTTAGGGCTTTTGGTTTTTTTTATTTGTTTTGTAATTTAGGACCTTCAGTCCTTTAGGACCTTTGTAATTTAGTGACCTTTAATTTTATCCTGTGAGTTCGAGTGGCGGCGCACGCCTTTTATCCCAGCACTTGGGAGGCAGAGGCAGGAGGATCTCTGAGTTTGAGACCAGCCTGGTCTACAGAGTGAGTTCTAGGACAGCCAGGGCTACACAGAGAAACCCTGCCTCACAGAAAAAGAAAACTAGAGTTATAAAAGTGACCTCAAGACACTAGTTTGAGGAATGAATAATTTGCATCCTGGAAATCCTGAAAGCTTTATCCTTTCATGCTTTGCCCTAAGATCCTTGAAGACTTTTGTCCTCAGGGCAGTGCCAGCTTGAGAATTCAAGTCAGTGGAACGAACACTGCTCTGGGTCAAGGGCTGCCAGTGAGCTTGCGCCCTGCATGAGTGTGGAAAGAGGCTGAAATCTAGCTCTTCACCAAGCCTACCTCCACCTTCCTTTTTTCTAGAGCTCATTAGAACACAGACCTCATAACACTAAGATGGTAACTTTAGGGCTGCAGAGATGACTCAGTGGTTGAGAGCACTGGCTACTCTTCCAGAGGACCCAAGTTCAAATCCCAGCACCCACATGGCTCACAACTGTCACAACTCCAGTCTCAGAGGCTCCAGTTCCCTGTCCTGGCCTCTGGGTGCATTGCATACACATGGTGCATATACATACATGCAGACATCATAGTAACTTTACCTGGGGGGGAGACAGCTTTCTCATGAGCTATAAACTCTTGTCTTTCATACTTAGCTCGAATCCATTGCTCCTTTAAGACCCTAAAGAGAGAAATTTCGGTTAGTCCTGTCTGCTGCAGTGCCTCTCGTTCCCATAGTGACTTTCCAAGACCCTACAGTGGAGAGTGGGGACAACCCAGCAGCTGCCTTCTCAGGACACCCAGAGATTCTCGGCCTTAGGATAGTTAACATCGGTGCTGGATGGGTCTCTGTAGTGGGGGTGGGGGCTGTCCAGCGCTTTATGGACTGTGTGGCAGTACCTCTGGCTCCTACCTCCTAGATTCCAGGAGTTTCTGCTCTCCAGACGACACACCAGGAAAATTTGTCTTCTAGTGGGTTGAGAAGCACTGGACTGTCCCTCAGCCCTCTAAGTCAATGATCAAGGTATGCACTCCCTCAACACTTACCCTGTCCCCCCAACACTCCTGGCTGACCCCAGGTATCTAAAGTAACTGAGAATGACTTTGAACTTACGATCTTCCTGCTTCCACCTCCCAAGTACTGGGATTACAGGTGTGTGCCACCATACCCAGCTTTATGCAGGGTGAGGAACAAACCCAGGGCTTTAAGCATGCTAGGCAGGCACTCTACCAACTGTGCTATATCCCTAGACCAAATTACTGAACATCTCTAAACTTAGGAAATGAGCCAGTAATATACCTGCCTTCCCTAGTGCTGTTGAGGTGGGCTTTTTTGTTTGTTTGTTTGTTTGTTTGTTTGTTTCAAGGCAAGGTTCCTCTGTGTAGCTTTGGAGTCTGTCCTTGAACTCACTTTGTAGACCAGGCTGGCCTCGAACTCACAGAGATCCGCCTGCCTCTGCCTCTCGAGTGGTAGGATCAAAGGCGTGTGCCACCACCGCCTGGCTTGGGCAGCTGTATGTAAATAATCCAGCACCATACTCAACACACAGTAGGGTTTGTTGTTGTTGTTGACAGAGTCTTGCTGTATAGGCTGGCCATGAACTCACAGAGATCTGCCTGCTTCTGCCTCCTGAGTGCTGGGATTAAAGTCGTGCACACAGTAGATTCTTTTTTTTTTTTTTTTTTTTTTCATTTTATCCTGGTGTGATCGGACACTGAACAGCCAGGGAATTGAACCCAGTTCCTCTGGAACATCAGTCAGTGCTCTTAACCACTGAGCCATCTCTCTCTTCTCCACAGTAGATTCTTAATGCTGATGTTAACCAAATAGTATTCTGCAGTAAAACTGTGTATCTGAGAACAAACTTACTTTCATTGTTTGCTCCTTTTTATCTTTTCCAGGTACACGTTTCAAAGGTTAGCTGACCAAATGCCCTGGGAATGGGAGTGACCTGGAGCTGTGCATCTGGCCTAACCAGGTCACTTGGAGCTCTGGGTTGCCCTGGGCTGTCAGGCGTCAAAGAGACCAAAAGTTAAGAGACTGACCGGAACTCCTCTCTGGGCTATGCTGGGTAATGCAGCATGAACCTGAAAGTGGATTTGCTGTCAGCTGCAGGAGAAGTCTGGCTAAGAGAAAGACGGAGGGACAAGTGACATGAGAGTGTGAAAGACCGGGTCACGCTGGAGCCCCTGTGTGGCCCTCCATCTCCCCTTCTCCTTTTCCTTGGTCATGTCTGAGCTCCCGGTATTATGGTCCTCCTCCTTCTCCTCTTCCTCCTCCCTCGTCTTTCCTCTTTTTAAAAGAAAAATACACTTATTTATTTAGCGTGCACACGTATGTGTGTAAGTGCACACTCCACAGTGCAGGTGTGGACATCAGAAGACAACTTGTGGGAACCAGTTCTTTCCTTCCTTTGTGCGGACCCCTGGAATGGAACTCAGGTTCTCGAGCTCAATGGCAGGTGCCTTTGACCACTGGGCCCTCTTGCAGGCCTTGGCTGTGGTTGTGGTGAAACAGAGTCTCACTGCAGTCCAGGCTTGTCTCAAACTCACACTAAGCTGGCCTCGATCTCCCTAGCCTCCTTAATGCCAGGATTACAGGTGTGTACTACACTACCTGGTTTGGCATGATCCTTCTTGAAGGTGGCTTCATACCTGACCTTCCTGGTGTCTGATCTTCAAAACTCCCAAAGCCTTTTGATGCCTGAGCCAGCTTAAGCTGGAATTCTGTCCCCCAGTCAACAGTTCTTTCTAGGTTTGAGGTGTAGCTCAGAGGTAGAGTGCTGGCCTGATATGCACAAGGCCATGGTTTTGACCCTCAGTATACAACCCCAAGACCTTCCTAAGGCACAGCCTTCCCCATGGGACAGTGAGGATGGCACCAGGCCCAACATGGTGGTGGGAATTCTGGGCCATAGGATAAGCACTAGGGGAGAGACTAGAGACTGAGTTCTAGTCCCAGAGGTGGGGAATGCAATGGTTATAGAACTGGAGGAGAGCAGTCACCAGCCCTCAATCAACAGGGATTAAAATGCAAAGACATTTGTAGGAGTCATGATAAATGCTGGAGAGGACAGGGAAGAAAGCCCATGGAAGAGACGCTGCCCAGGGGCTTGGAGCAGAGGCTGGAAGGTGGCAAGGGGGCAAGATGAGACAGGTTCTTTCAAGTGGTGTCCAACCCTCACCCTCAGAGGGGTGAGGGACCCGGTATCACTGTAAGGCTGACACTAAGAAATGCATTAAAACTACCACGCTAGGTGACATGGGAGCTGCTTAACAAATGATGTCCTTTGATCTACATTATGTTGTAAGGCAGGTTTTGTGGTCTGCACTTTTGGAAAGGGACTTGGACTACATGCAGAGGGACATCCAGAAGGCTTGGTGGCTTGGCCACCTTCTTATAGCTGGGTAGCAGTAGAGTTGGGGGAGAAAAACCCGAGGCCTTCTGCATACAAAGCTTTGCTTCCCTGCCTCTCCACAGGGTATCAGTAGCCCTTGGATCACTAACTGCAAAACTACAGAACCACCAATTACAGTTACGCATTTGTGCAAAGCCCAAAAGCACTACGCTGAGACTCGGTGGTTCAAATACAACTTTCCAGACATGCCTTCATGAGACTGTGTCTACTCGGAGGGATCCCTTTTCCTGAGTACACAGGACACTGTCTGACAGTCCTGAATGAGGCTGAGTCCCTGAGAGGGAGGCCCAGGATCAGAGAATCAGCCTTTCAGAGATTTGGGGTCACTAGGTTCTGTCATCTTCCTCATCCCTCACATTTACAACCCTCCTGCTATACTGGGTTTTCCTAATGTCATGCTACCATCCCCTGGTATCAGATGATCCGTTCATTCCCAGCTCTATGCTCCTTCACATCCATCATGTTCTGTCTCTGAAACACAGTAGTAGTCACACTTGCAAGGTTGCTGAGAATGTTGACAATAACACACACAGCATTTAGAGCTTGGCATATGGGTAAAGCTCCACCAATATTAATGGCTTTTGTTTTGTTTGAAGCATAGTCTCAAATAGCCTAAGCTGGCCTCCAACTCACAATGTAGCTGAGGCTGACCTTGAATTCCTGATCATACCCTTTTTATTTACCCCCTATGCACCAGAATTACAGACTTCTGCCACCACACCTGGTTTAAACCAGGATTCCTACGTGCCTTCTGTGACAATACCAAATCCATCCTTGAAAGAACCTTCCAACCAGGTCACAGGAGAACTCACCTCAGACAAAGGTTCCAGGAACAGAGAAGGGCTGGGAAGACCTCTCCCCAGACCCTAGGGAATCACTCACTTACAGGCAGTCGCTGGCCTGAGGGACGTAGTAGAAAGCTGGGACTCTGGCCTCAAATTTGGCTTTCACGTTGAGATTCCCATTGCTGGTCATGAACTGTAAGACAAGAGCAAATCGGCATAATTGTAGAACTTGAACAAAAAACATGTGAAATGAAACCATGGTCTAACCAGAAGACTGTGGTTGCTGGGCATAGTCCTGCACACACACCTTTAATCCCAGCAGAGGCAGGTGGATCTCTGTGAGTACAAGGTCAGCCTGTTCTGCACAGTGAGTTCCAGGAGAGTTAGGACTATGTAGAGAGACCCTGTTTCAAAAAAATAAAAAATAAAAAACCTGTGGTTTTCCCTGGCTCTGAGGCAGGGCCAGGAGAAACTACCTTCAAGGAGACATCTCACTGGGCACGGAAAACCCTAGTTTGTCCTATCACGGGGACTGATAACCATGCCTCAGATAGGAACATCTTTTTACAGTTCTCACACAAGAGTTTATTGGGTCTTCTCAACCATTTTAACACTCCTATTCTGTTTTTAAAGAGGACACTGGGCTCGGAGAGGTTAGGTGGCTTGCTCAAGGCAGCACACAGCTAGTTAATACAAAGTGGTGATGCCAACCCATTTCTGCTGGACCACAAAGCTCAGGTTCTTTCTCTTACTTCTTCCACCGACAGCCCCCTCACAGCCCTTAAAGTCTACAGCAGACTGGGCTAGCTGGAGAATGGAAGTGGCTGCCAGCCTCATAGAATACCCAATGTCACCTGAGACTCAGAGTGGACATTCTGTCCAGTGATACACTGATGTGCCAGTGGGCAGTGACATGCTGGGGTAAGAGCAGGAACAACAGGTTTGTAATTCCTATCTGTGGACACAGTGAACACTATTTTCCTCCCTGGGGGCTCTTGAGCTGTGGCGTAGACATGTATTGCCTGTGGACCCCAGGAGAGCATGAGTGACTCTGGGGAGCTCACCTGTCCCAATGAAGACATAACAAGGGATTTAGAAGGCAAAAACCTGTGGGTGTGTGAGCTGGCTGGCAGCATCCCTGTGTTTCCCCCACACAGAATGTGAGCCTTGACTAGATAGCCAATCTGTCTTGTCAGTGTGCTTTTCCCCACCAAGGACAATACAGTTACACCTGGGTGGGCTGAATAGTAAAGTCCGGTCCAGATCCTGCCATGGAATGGGGATGCTCAATGATGTTACCTGCTTCCCCAGTGGTCCTTGAAGTTCCCAGTTCACCAGTGAGATGTAAACCTGTCTGCTCTCCTCGGGTTTTTCTGGCTGAGGGCTCCTCTATACCAACTGAGCAAGCATGCAGAGTGGGCTCGGGAGGTGTGAAGGACCTTGGGCTATGAATCAGGACGTTTCTCTTCCTCAGTTCCTGGCTCCCCTGAATGTTGACAGCGACTGTTAATTCACTTTGTGTCTGTGCTGAACCTGTGTTTTATTATTATTATTTTTCTCCTCTTTTTTCCACACAGGGTTTCTCTGTGTAGCCTTGGCTGTCCTACAGGACTCTGCTCTGCAGATCAGGCTAGCCTAGAACTCTCAGAGATCTGCCTGCCTCTGCCTCTGCCTCTGGAGTGCTGGGATCAAAGGCACATGTCACCACCACCTGGCTGGGTTTTATTCTTACAGCAACTACATGAGTGGGTGATTCATGTCCATAACATGGGTGTGGAGGTGGAATCCGTAGCTAAGATTAAGGAACTAGCCCAAGGGTTAGAGAGATGGCTCAGTAGTTAAGAACACTTATTGATCTTGCAGAAGACCTGGATTCAATTCCGAGCGCCAATATGTCAGCTCACAACTGCTTAACTCCAATTCCAGGGGATCTGATACCTTCTTCTGACCTCTGAGGGCTCCTGCATACATGTGGTTCATATACATAGACTCAGGTACACATATATCTTTAAATACACGCACACGCACAATTAAAGGCACTACTTAGAGTATCGCCCCTTGTAGGATTAGCTAGGATTTGAACTCAGGGCCTTTGTCTAAGCCACCACCTACTAGTTAGTCTATGCTTCCTCTCATTAGTCATTGCACCTCTCTGGGCTCCATTTCCTCCTCCGTGGAATAGGAGGTACACCTGCGTCCCGCCTCCTCTCCCCACGCCCAATTCCAAGAATCTGCATATGCACGCGATTCTACCTCCACCATACTGTCGTCCCAGAAGTCCAGTCTCACGGATTTAACTTTGCTGACATCTGGGAAGTTGCGGTGGACGCCAGAGCAGTGGAGACAGATGAAAATCCCCAGCTTGTAAGAGGCCCAATCAGGATCTGCGGGGTGGAAGGGCAGGATCTTCGCTGAGGACCAGGACTGGGCTGGGGTGTAGAGACAGGCGGGGTTGGAGGCCAGCTCTCCCCACGCGGGTAATCCTTTCTCTTTTGGTCTCCAACCTTGGACAACTGAGGTAACGCCATAAACCGTGCTGAGCCCACCCTTCGGCGCAGCGACACCTAGGAGACCTCGGAAGGAGGAACCGAGAAGAGGGGACGAGTGAAGGACCCACTCGGAGGCTGAGGGCAGGGAGCCGCATCAGCATCCTCAGAGTGAACGCGCCGCAGTGAGGGTCGCGGGGGCCCAGGAGGCATCGGAGGTGGGATGTCCGAGGGTGCGGGAAGGGCCCAGGGTCGGAGATGATGTCCGGGTCCGGGTCCTGGGTTGTAGGATGCCCGGTGGAAAAGTGAGAGAGACCCAGGGCATGGACCGCGTCTGGTGCGGAGCGAGGACTGAGGTCCCTAGCTTCGGGAGCAGGGAGACGGAGGACCGTCAGGACCGTCGGGGCCGCCGGAGACGCTCCACCGAGAAGGACTGGAGTCCCAGGCGCGGAGAGAATCTGGCTCGCGCGTGGGTGGGCTCCTAGAGAAGGGGCCGGCGGGCCAGGGGCCAGGGCCGTGCCTGGCTGCACCTGCCCCGCACGCCGCACCCTTACCCGCAGCCCCGCAGTCGGCGCAGTGCGTGTTGCCGGTGCCCGCAGCTTGCAGCAGCTCCAGCAGCCGCTTCTTGTTGCGCTCGCGGTCGCCCATGGCCGGACCGGAGGTCCCAGCGGGGCTCAGCCCCGCCGCCTCCGCACTTCCCGCTCCTGGACGCCCATGGTCCTGCCTTTGCCGGGCGGCTGGAGAAGGACTCAGCTAGCCAAGCCTTCAAGACCGTGCGGCCGCCGGCCCCGCCCCTGGGACAGCATGCCCCGCCTCCAGGTCCTTGACCACGCCCCTGGACAATATACCGCTACTCAAGGCCTGCAGTCCATTTCCACTACCCGAGGGAAGGGACAGGAGTGCACCAGATGTAATCCTGACTGGCTACTTGCTAACTGGGAGACCATGGTTTATTCGGTCTTTCTAGGCCTCAGTTTCCACATCTGAAAAAGAGGCCTACAAGGGCAGCATAGGGACTGGAGAGATGGCTTAGGGGTTAAGAGCCCTGGCTGGTCTGCTGGTGGACCGGGATTCGATTCCCAGCACCCACAGGGCAGCTCATAACTGCAACTCTAGTTTCAGGGGATCCAACAACCTTTACACAGACATATATGTAGGCAAGACACGAATACACATGAAATAATTAGTTTTAAAAAAAAAAGATAAGGACAGTGTAGCTATTTCCTCAAACATTCCGCTGTGGGGGGAGGAGGGTGGTTCATAAAACTCAAGGAGATCAGGAAGTAGAAGATTCACAAGGTTGAGGAGAGAAGACCCTTCTTTGCTTTTCCGTGAACCGGCATTGCTGCTGGGTTTGCTCTTTGGCAATGCTGTTTCTTTTGACTCCCTAGGCTCCTGTAAGCAGCCTTAATAATAAACTCACTGGTTTGTCAAGCTAGACTTGGGTACAATCTCTTTGGTCTATCGTTGTTGTCCTACACAGGGTGAAGAGACTCTCCATGTCTCTCCAGGAAAAGTACACAACAAGCATGCGTCTGCACTTCCGGGCTCCTTGGAAAAACTGAACACGCTCTAACATGTGTTAAAGTGTTCTGCAGGTCTTAACATCTGTTTGGAGACAGCTAGATACAAATGCTCCCTCCTCAGAACACCCTCCATGATTCCCAGTCTCCAGCATTCCATTGGGCCTGTTACAATTCCTTAATAGGGTAATCTCTCCTCTGTAGCCCTGACCACATCTGTGATCCACGTCACATTACAGTAGCTTAGACACCTGTGTTCATTTCAATCCCTGTGGCCTCACTAGAGTCCACAGAGTCAATATTCTATTCTGGTAAACAGAATATTCTGTTCTGGGAAACAGCCTCTATCTACTTTGTGAAATTGAAAGTTTCAATGACTGGATTCACCAGGAAGTAGAGCAACCTGGACAGAGCTGGAGCCTGTGAAATTCCATCCCTGTGAGGTGAGCGGGGTTTGGGGGGTTTTGAACCTATATCACTACATCCCTTCTCTTTGACGCCATCACCAATAACCCACTGGACTCTGTCATTCAACCATGACACACATAATGCTTAGTGCACAGGGATGTTGGGTCTCTATTCCGAAGGACCTGAGGCCTTCTCATACCCACATTCCATACACACACACACACACACACACACACACACACACACACACACACGGTAGCATGATGTAGTGGAATGAACTAGAATTACACAAATTCAAGATATGAATGTTAGCTCCGACTCCATCCTTCCCTAGCTGCTTGTGAAGGAAGCTTGTTCCATGACTTCTCTGAACCTTAGTCTCATGTGTGAGATGAGGACTTTGAGGAATGCTGAGACGGCACACAAAGCTCCCAGAACCCAGCGCTTGCCTTGCTTCTCCTGTTTCTTGGTGAGCTGATGGGACTCATCTGAAAGGCGAGGAGGCTTCATTTCCCATCATTCCCATGGTGGAGGAGGTCAAGCCACCAGACCTGGAGAAGAAGCACATTCCAGAAACAGCCAGTCCTGAGGGTTCTTGACTATGTTTTGGGATTGGGGGTGGCTAGCCCAGGAGCATCCATAAAGGAACCAGTAAGTGAGACAGCTGGGGTCAGCAGGCATGAAACTATTTACTAAACAAACCCAGAGATGATTCATTTCCGCTGCATTAGATAAAAAAAGAGACAGAAATAGGTCTCCCAGGAGGAGGATGGGAAAGACAACGATGTAAGGTATGAACAGAGGGGTAGGGGGGAAAGAGGGCACAAGCCATGGACATCTGTCCTCTGCTCATCCTCACAGCAAAGGCGGGCCGTTTGGAGTCCCGGCTTTTCTTAGTCTCCTGTAGCATCTGGACTCTTAACTGTCCCCTCCCTGGAAGCCTCACAAAGAATCACAGCAGTGGTCAGTTCAGAGAGAAGTCTGAGACGGAAAGGTCTCCTTGGGTTTCTCTTCCCATCCTCATTTTTGGAGGTTTTAGTTTAAAAGTTAGCAAAGACTTAGGGTGGACTTGCAGCCACCCTAAAAAGGAAAAATGATAGTGACCTGGTACTTTATGCCAGGTTTCTGCCTTCCCGCCTCTGTGTTGGGGGTGGGGAGGTGAATAACACTGGCTGGGTGCTCCGCAGACCATGCTCCAGATAGCGATGCCTTGAGCTTCAGAATGTCCCTCGGTGGGCAGCAGGCATTTCGTTTCACAGCAGAGGCTGAGGGCTAAACCCCAGGGCAGCTGTTACCTAAGGTCTTGTGGTCAAATGGTGTGTGCAACAGGGGCCTACAGTCAGATTTCCTGTCACGGCGTCATTTAGTGCTGTTTATTTCATGAAATGCTCTTCCTTCTCATCCTGGGTTTTTGTTTATCTTCCTGTGCTGGGGATTAAACCGATGGCTTTGTGCACCCTGGGTAAGCACTCTGCCACTGAGCTATAATTCCACTCCTTATCCTTTCGTATGTATACCCATAACATGTACAAAGTGATGATTGGTACACTGTGTAATGATCATCATAGTCAACACTTCCAGGTTGGAGAGATTGCTCAATGGTTAGAGCACTGGCTGCTCTTCCATAGGACCCAGGCTCAATTCCCAGCACCCACATGTTGGCTCACAACTGTCAGTAACTCCAGTTTTCAGGGTATCTGGTGCCTTCTTCTGACCTCTGAGGGCAATCACGTGCAGACACACTGACATACACATAATTTTTAAAAAAATTAACCTTAATTTAAAAAACCACACACACACACACACACACACACACACACACACACACACACTCATCACCACTACTCCAACAAAAACCCATACCCACCACTAGCCTACTGTGCTCATCTCCTAACTCAGAGTTTGTACTCCGTATTTTTACTGCTGATTTTCAAAACTTGTTCATCACCCCCAACAGAAACTTTGTCACCTCCTCCTGAATTTGGCGTGATGAAAGCTTCCCTCTGTTTCTGTGTTCGGAAATCACGAGTCAAGGGGATGTGGCAGTGGTCCTTTTATCACAGCTCAAGAGGCTGAAGCGGCAAGATGAGTTTGAGGCGTGCTGACTTACACAGGGAGCTCCCACCCCACCTGAGCTAAACCTTGTCTCAAAATAAAAGCGAAGGCGGGGGCTGGAGAGATGACTTAGTGGTTAAGAGCACCAACTGCTCTTCCAGAGGTCCTGAGTTCAATTCCCAGCAACCACATGGTGGCTCACAACCATCTGTAATGAGATCTGGTGCCCTCTTCTGGCCTGCAGGGGCATATGCAGGCAGAATACTGTATACATAATAAATAAATAAATCTTTAAAAAAAAAAAAAAAAGCAAAGGCGGGTGATGCCAGTGCACACCTTTAATCCCAGCACACTGAAGGCAGAGACTGGCGTATTTCTTCGAGTTCGAGGCCAGTCTGGTCTACAGAGTGAGTTCCAGGACAGCCATGGGTACATAGAAACCCTGCCTCAAAAAAGCAACCCCCAAAAAACAAAACAACAACAACAAAATAAAATAAAAAGTAAAAAGAGGGGCTGGAGAGGGAGCCCAGTGCTTTAGAGCACTTGCTGCTTTTGCAAAGGAACCCAGTCGGGGTTCCCAGCATCCATGTCAGGTAGCTCACAACAACGTGTAACTCCTGCTACACTGACACTTTTCTTCATCACACATACACATTTTACACACGTACATGTAAGTAAAAGCAAACCAAGTCATTTTAAAAGCTTTATATTATTATTTATTAGCTGTGCATGTGTGTGTAAAGATAAATCATTTTAAATATTCATTACTTATTTTTAAATTATATGTATGTGTTTGTGGGTGCTTACGTATATATGAGTGCAGATCTTGTAGAGTCCAGAGGCACTGGATCCCCTGGAGGTAGAGTTAAAGGTACTTATGAGCCACTGTGCAGGAGTGCAAACCTAACTCGGGTCGTCTTGACTGCTGACCTATCTCTCCGGCCCTAAAATTAATCCTTTTTTTTCCTTCAAGAATTAACACATTTGTGTTACAGCACCTACAGCCAGTTTCCCCGTCCTACGTAATTATCACTTCTGAGGCCATGTGCAGTTGGGTAGATGGGAATGCTGAGTCTTAGGGGTCCTCACCCCCTGGTGCCACGACATAGACCGCACTTCACCAGTCTCAGAAGAACAAGCCACCCCAAATGTGCTTCATAATTAGGACATGGGCTACCAGGATGAGAAGTGTGGAGCTTGCGAAAGGCTGTATGGATGGTTCAGTAGGTCCCTGGTGAGGTTACAGAGGCCACACCTGAGTCCCATGGCCTTAAGTCATATCTGCACCTGTCCTGACGACCAGCCACATGGCCACGAGGTGAGCCTTATTTTTCCTGGCTTCTGGATCTGGAAAATGAGAAAGGACGGATAGCTGCTTGTATTTTTCCTGACCTTTCTGAATGCGTCCCCCACCCCACACCCTGAAAACCCAGTTTCTACATACTCCCAACTCCAAAGTTGTGTCTTGCTAAAATGCTGACCATGCAACCCTTTGGCGAGTCCTTGGAATCTCCGACATTGGGGTCCGGCCGAGGGCATCAAAGTCAAACCTCAGTGTCTTCTCACCACAGCTCTGCACTACGTCAGGCTGCAGCCATCCTTCGTGCTCACTGGCTTCTCAACACTGAGCAGAGAAACACCCACTCGCTCCTGGCTCTGATGTCCCTGACACAGCTGAGCAGCTGGCTCTGATGTCCCTGACACAGCTGAGCAGCTGGCTCTGATGTCCCTGACACAGCTGAGCAGCTGGCTCTGATGTCCCTGACACAGCTGAGCAGCTGTGCTGTGCTTGTGGTGCTGAAAAACCCAGGACAAAAATAAATCTTAAAAAAAAAAAAAAAGGAAAAAGAAAGGAAGGGCATTTGCCTAGTCCACTTGAGACCCTAAGTTCAATACCCAATGCTGGCAAAAGGGAAAGGAGGCGAGGATGGTGGTGGGGTGTGGCTCAGGGGTCAAGAGAACTTGCTTTTGCTCTGGCAAAAGACGTGGATTTGGTTCCCAGCACCCACACAGCGACTCACAACTGCTCCCAACTCCAGTCCAGGGATCTGACACCCTCTTTTGGCCTCCACAGACACTAGGCATACATGTGGTACACATAACATGTGCGAAGGGATAACATTCACACACATAAATAAACCTAAAATGTTTTTAAAAGAAAGGAAAGGACAAGGCGGGGGCATCAGAGAAAAAGAAGAAAAGAAATTAGAAGCTGTTCCCAAGGGAAGAGGACTAAGCTAGAGGCTGTCATGCCCTAGGTCATTGCTGATGAGTGAGACCAGAACTTGGGGGTGGGTTGAGGCAGCCTCTCTGGGGT